AAAATTTCGAATATTATAAAGATAAAAAGAGTTATACTTTATAATAATCGGTCTGTTTCATGTATCAATTTAAGATCGTAGTTTATTGAATAGACACAAAACTTTACGAATAAATCCATGTTTTTTTTACCAGCTGGCCATAACATTGTTTTATAAACCACCCGCTGTCAGGGGTACGTTAGCCGTCGCTCGATATCGATCACGCCACTCACGCGATACGTTATTCCTGTACTGGCAATCAACCTTTTAAATAGTCAAGTGTATAGTATTAATTGCTTTTTTTCGTATTCCTTTACTTGTGCGGCCTATTTTATATTGGAAGAGTTCGATCGTCACAATTTGATTAAAATAAACTGCAAGTAATGAAAGCTATTGAAAGATAAACAAAAATTGTTAAATACAGTCTGTCCAGTATTCTATCCTGTAAAAACTATATACATTATATTCATGTGTTGAAATTAAAATCGGTGAAAAAAACAACAATACAATACACTATATAATAATATAGTATAGTACATTACAATATACTATACCTCAATTCATACTAACAATATTTACAAAATGCTGTACAGACCTATTAAGACGGAGATAAAATAAGATTCGGTTCAGAAAATTGAAGATATAGGTACCTACAGAGTCCATTAAATGTAATCTACCGAAATAGTTTTATTTGTATAACAACCTAATTTCGAAATGGGTCCTTAGATTGTTTCCACGCTCTAGGGATTTATTTGTGACGGAAAAAAGGTTTTGAATAAAAAGTGTTGAGAATTACGTAATTCATTTTAATTTTTGTCTTACGGCTATAGGAACAATACGCCACGCTACTTGTGCTACAATTATTAAGCAAGTAAAAATTGTCGCAAAGTTACGTAATGTCAGAATTGAATTTTCAGCCGCCTTTCGTTCTGTATCACGTGGAAAGAAATAACCAAGAATCGGAATAACGTCAAATGTTCATTTGGAAGATTATAAATGAATTACAAGCGCAATATTAGTTGCCCCAAGTGTAAAAAATTACTGTTTTTGTACCACATTTTAAAAATATACTTTGCAGAATACAGACGTAGTACGTAGTAGAATACAGAAAGTTGACTTCAGTTGGCAGTTGGGTCACAGTGAAGCGCATTCGAAGAATTTTGTTATATAAAATAATAATTGTCCTGATTAAACATATAAACCCTCATTGTCCATACTACTTGTCAGCCGAATCATAGCAGTATTCCCTTTAAATGTGGAACTAAAGCGGAAGAACAAAATAATGATAATAATGATGTACCTAGTAAAAGCGATTCCCAAAGATCATTGCGAAATTTTGTACTTAGAAAATAAGCATACTTTATTATATATGTTTTGCTTAATTATAAACAATCGTTACAAAAGATACACAGGACAGAAGAATATATTTAAGGGAAATTAGTAAACAAATTAAAGATAGCATAAGAAAGGACAGAAAACAAAACAGAATGGAAATTATAGAAAAATTTATAAACAAAACAGGTGGAGTCAAAAAAGCATACAGAAGTTTAAGAAATTCAAAGGATTGTTAAAATGAAAAATGACTGTGGAAAATTGAATTATCGTAGAACAGAAATATTGGATATAGCAACATCTTATTACAAGAGTCTGTACGAAAGTAACTCAACAGAAGACGATATTGATTTGGCGGATACTTCAAACATTCCTAACATTCTTCAAGCTGAAGTCGAGAAAGCCATAGATACTCAAAAGCTAGATAAAACCCCAGTTCCAGACGGCATAAGCAACGAAGTCTTAAAACGAGGAAAGGAAATGTTAGCACCTGTACTTACAGATATGTTTAACAATATTATAAACACAGAAATAATTCCAGAGCAATGGACAGAATCTAACATTATCCTGTTGTATAAGAAAGGAGATAAACATGAAATAAAAAACTATCGACCCATCAGTCTCATGTCAAACATCTACAAAATCTTCGCTAAGATCATTTTAAAACGAATTGAAAGAACGCTAGATGAGAACCAACCCATCGAGCAGGCGGGATTTCGTAAGGACTACTCAGTGATCGACCACATCCATGTAGTTCGTCAAGTTGTTGAGAAATACAGCGAATACCAGCTGAAATATTACATTGCTTTTATTGATTACAGCAAAGCATTTGATTCTCTTTTACACAAAACCATATGGGAAGCATTAGTGGAACAAGGGATTGAACTTAAATACATTCGTTTAATAAAAAACGTTTACAGTCATAGTACAGCCAGAATCCAGCTAGAGAAGAAAAGCCAGCCATTCGAAGTAGGAAAAGGCGTTAGGCAAGGAGATCCCTTATCCCCAAAATTATTCTCGGCTGTACTGGAATCAATTTTTAGGAAACTCAATTGGGAAAACGTTGGGATCAATATAGACGGTACATCACTGACGCACTTAAGATTCGCTGATGACATAGTACGGTTCGCCAAAACACCTGAAGTCATAACTAAAATGATAGAAGACCTTGCGATAGAAAGTGAGACTGTAGGATTAAAACTTAACCCGGAAAAGACTAGAATGATGACAAATGGGGGGAAAGCCAACATACAGATAAGAAACACCGAACTCAACTACACCGATGAATACATACCCTGGGACAAATCATAACTCAAAAAGAACCTATGCACGAGGAAGTGCAGAGAAGAATTACGAACAGCTGGAGAAGTTACTGGAGTTTGAGGGAGGTTATGACAGATAAACAACTGCATATAAACATTAAAAGTAAACTATTTAACACCTGCATACTACCCGTCCTTATGTATGGCTGCCAATCTTGAACATTAACTCGGGAAATGACAAATAGACTAGCAACTTGCCAATATGCTATGGAGCGGAGCATGTTGAACGTCAAAAGATTAGACAGACTTAAAAACTGTGTCATCAGAAACAAAACAAGAACCGCAGATGTAGTACGGAAAATTAAAAGACTCAAATGGAGATGGGCAGGTCACACAATAAGAGGTCATGACAAATGGAGTAAGAAGGTGACAAGGTGGTATCCCAGGGAAGGTAAAAGGAAAAGAGGCAGACCGTAGAAAAGGTGGGACGACGATATAAGAGAAGTGGCAGGAGTTATGTGGAACAGAATGGCCCTAGATAGGTCAGAATGGAAGAGGTTGGAGGAGGCCTTTGCCGATTGGCAAACAGATCTGCAAAAGATAAAAAAGCAGCTGATATTAGAATAAGTTTTAAATTTGGTTTTAGTTTTTAGTTTGCTTTGGAATGTTGTTATGAGCTTAAGATGATCTGAATAAAAGGCTATTATTTTTTATTATTATTATATAAACAATCTAACAATTTGACGACCCGAATGGCGTAGTGGGTAGTGTACCTGCCTCCTGCGCCAGAGGGTGTGGGTTCGATCCCCACTACTGGAAAAATATTGTGTGATGAACATGGTGTTTTTCTAGTGTCTGGGTGTTTCTATATGTATAATATGTATTTATTTACAAAAAAAGAAAAGTATGTTTAAGTATGTTTATCAGTCTTCTAGTACCCATAGGACAAGCTTTGCTTAGTTTGGGACTAGAAAATGCTGTGTACAAATGTGTCCTTTAAAAAAAAATTCAATATATTTTACAACTCAAATACAAATACAAATACAAATTACTTTATTTCCAAAAAAAAATTTCTACAAAATTATGCCTTATGAACCAATTTCATTAGGCTGTCGACAATACGCTTTCAGATTCATTGTATGACCATTTTAAAAGAATCTTCGTTAATGAAGATTTGAAAATTTTCAGGTTGCAATACTTTAGATTGCCTAAGTTGACTAATTTCTAAAACTTAACTACTATTAAAAAAACTACTAAAAAGTCTACTTGTGGAACTTTTTTTTAATAAAAGCTAATTAATGTCGTTGCAGATTACACATTTTACTGAAACGATTTTGCATACAGTGAAAAACAAAAGTTTTTTTTATTTACGAGACAAACCATAAATAAAATAAAATAAGGATTTCAAATTTCAAAGGGCTGATAAGCCAATAGGCATTCTCTCCTATTTAAAACAAATTTGGTATGGTTTTGTATATACATAGTAGGTATATTACATTTACAGTCAGGGCCGGATTTAGGGGTAGGCAACCGGGGCAACAGCCCCGGGGCCTCCACAGACGAAGGGCACCCACAATAGAGACTTCGGAAAAAAATCAAATTAAGTAGTAAACAACTTCACCTTTCATATTTTTTTCGTGTTTTACTTTTACCTACAGTAGTTTGTACAAACATGATTAAAATAAATAATTAGGGGACAAGGGGCCTCCTTAGTTGCCCTGAGGCCTCCAGACCCCTAAATCTGGCCCTGTTTACAGTTATTAATTTTAATATCTTATAAAACTAGAGACAAAAATTAAAAAAGCAAATAAGGTAAAAAAGCGATAAAAAAATATGACAAACTAATTGTTTTAAATGAAAACAAACCTAATAAAAACCAGAACGGTCAAAGACTTATATATTTCTTCAAATAAAGAGGAAACAAGCCGCGAAAATCAAGCCTCAAAGAAGAATAAAATCACAGCTTTTATGAGACAAAGAAACGATTCTGAACACTACACTAAAAACATAACTCCTACATCCAGCATATAGCAATCTCAATCCTCAACCAGCTCAAGACCCAACACGGCTAGTCACCGCGGGGGAGAAAATTGGAATAAATTGGCCTTTACCCTACAAAGGGATTCTCATTTAAATAAATTAAGTTATTTATTTATTTGTTATGTTATGTTATTATTAATAATTTAAATTCATATTCAAATAATAATTCGACGTATAGTTATATTGAACTTGTTATGAAATATATAAATTGAATAATATATAATTGCATGTAAACATATAATGAAAAACCGCACGACAATAAATAAGGCATAATTATTATCATTATTATTAGAGGCAAAAATTACTACTGTCTGAAAATTCCTGTCAAAAGCATCAGACCCATCTGTTATTAACTTTTAATCAAAACTTAAACACACACACTTTCAGATATCCAAGAATTCTACGAACTAACACTACTGGACGAAACAAAATCGATTCAGCAAAAGACTGCCGAAACTATACGAATCGCCAATAAGTGGGAAGCGGATGGCACGAGGCGTGAAGTAAGTGCTATATTTTGTTAGATTAATTCACTGAGAATAATTAAAATAGTTATTTAATAATGATTTTATAAATTCTCAAATCGTTGCCAGAAATTGTTTATGTATTCTAAAATAAAACTTTTGTGTTGAAAAGATTGCGATAAGTGACACATCATTTGATTTCAATGCAAATTAAGTTTAATAATAAACAAAGCATGTAAAGGAAGTTTAATAATGAAATTTTAGCATTTTGAGCGTGTCGGTACAAAAACTTAAACAATAATAAGTTCATTTGTCAAATAAACGTGATATTTCAATTTAATAACTAACCGGCACTTTGGAATGTGTAGATAAAACTGTCGTTACATTTTTCACCGGTACTAGGATTCGAACTTCCGCTTTCCGGATTATACGCCTAGACGCTCTAGCCAAGCTAAGTGGTCAACAGCCACACAGTGCGAAAATTGACGTCTCACCTACTTTTGCTTTTATTGCATTTGTAGCAATTCTTGGCGTTATCGATTTTGCATAGACTAATCTATCAATAAAAGATAAAAATTAAATTAACTGACGTGGGGGAATATTATGACTAAATAAAAATCACCGCGTTAACTGATGAAACAGTTAGTAAATAATAGCTTGCCAGTTTTTGGTTATTCGACAACAAAGCCCGAACAGAACAAAAACAAAAGCTTATTGTGCTAGCTCTGGCATTTTTATTAAACTGCGCAGTCTGCCGATTCCGTTGTTTTTTTTTTTCGTTTCATTTTTTAAATCAACTTGCTTATTTTTAAATAATATCTGGACATGACCAAAACAGTTAAAAGTATTTTTTTTATGTGAAAAGTTGTCAAGCGGTTCACCACATGTTAAGTGATTACCGTCGCCAGCTTGCAGAAACGTTAACAACCTTTAAAAAACTGGGCCCCGTTTGTATCACTCACCAGAAGAAACGTGAAAATATAATAATTCCACTTCACGCTGGTCTTCTGTGAGACCGTGGTTTTTTTACGGACGAGTCTGCACATTATTTTTTTTTTATGTGACAAGGTGACAAACGAGCCGGCGGTTTACCTGATGTTAAGTAATAACCGCCGCCCACCGACATTTGCAACGCAACATTTCTTGCAATAGCCGAAGCTGCAGCGTGGCCCTTCTTCTTCTTGCTCGGTCCTTCAATTCTGAGGACCGTGACTACATGTTGTTCGCTTCCACTGCGTGTGGTCGTAGGCGGTTGCATGCTGCCGCCCACCGCGTTTTTCACAGTGTCAGGTCATCTTTTCAGTGCCCTGCCTTTAGCACATCTGTCGTTATTGGCCTATAATAATCTGCTTCCCGTGACGATCGAATAATTTGTCCAAAAAAGCAGAGGGCCCTTTAATGGCAAATTGAAGCGAGCCGCTTCGTTATGTTAAGCTCGTTAATTATCGAGTCGTGGCTCTACCACAGTATAAATTTTAATGTACCTACCAAGATATATTTTAATATTATAATTGTACAAGGTAAAACAATGTGGTAACTGTGGTAGGACCACGCAATAGTGTTCACGATCTCACTTATGCGTTTCGTCTGGTGAGTGAGGTAGCCGGGGCCCACTTTATTTATAGGCAACGCATTTGCAACCCTACGGGTGTTGCAAATGTCCATGGGCGGCGATTATCACTTAACATCAGGTGAACCGCCAGCTCTTTTGCCACTTTCTCACACATTAAAAAAAAGGTACAAGGTAAACTCGTACTGGCCATCGCAGTGTAGGACGACCCCTCACTAGATGGATTGACGTGATCTGTGCAAATGTGCGGGAAGTCGATGGATGTAGGTAGCTCAGGATCGTACTTCGTTGCAGTCTATGGGGGAGGGCGCTCTATGTTCAACAGTGGACTCTACCGGGTGTGGTAGGGCCACGCAAAAGTCTTCGATGTTGCACGAATGGGCAGGTCCGTCCGAGTAAGTACCACGACTTCACAGAAGACCGGCGTGATGAAGTATAACACATCCAATGTTATACTTCTGCGTTTCGTCTGCTAAATGACACCTCACCAGACGAAACTAGGTAGCCGGGGCCCACTTTATTGTAAGGTAGCAACTCATCTGTAAATGTCCTTCGAACTTAAAAAAAAATATATATATATATATATATATATATATATATATATATATATATATATATATATATATATATATATATATATATATATATATATATATATATATTCTGATTGAGAACTAACGCTGCTGACTGTTTTCAATTGTCTTAAATTTTAAATGTTACCTACCAACTATTGCGATGTGTGACAGCGTACACACATACTTTACATTCATACATATTATAAAGTAAATACGAGTTTATGGAGGCTTAATAAAAAAACCTATTAATTGATCATCGATTCAACAATTACTCTCAAAGTTTCATCACGATTGTGTGTTCAATGCACAACGCGATAAATTATTCTCATAACAATAGTACTAGTCTCCGTAGTCGTATTTTGAAAGTCGGTACTGATTTATAAATTGAGTATAAGTATATTTTTTATATAAGAATAATTTGGACTGTTTTTTCTGAGCTGCTGGTTCACCTAATGTCAAGTGATACTCGCCACTCGTGTACATTTGCAACACCTGTAAAGTAAAAGATGCGATGTGTTGTTGTTAATATTATGTAAATGTTTAACATTCTGAACGATTTTATCTTACTGCAAGCACAATAGTTTAGGTAATCGATATACCACGACAACTGCATTGCGCGCCCTGTTTAATTAAATAAAATGATGAGTCTATGATTATACTTTGGGCTTAATTTCCACGGGAGACAAGAGTTTTTGTGAACCATAAATAGCTGTTTTGAATCGGGGTGTACCTACTCCGTGTCTGTGATTTTTATGTTGAGCCTCAGGGGGCCGAGCTGTTTTCACTCCGTGTATTTCAGGCTCTGAAGACTTTTGATCCTTATTTAGATGGACTAATGATATATGAAAAACGGAAAACTCCTACGCCAAGACTGGATTCAAATCCGCTATCCATCTATGGTTATTATGTTTTCGTAAAGCAAAAATTATTTTAAAAAAACTTTCGATTAAAAAATAATTAATAATTTAATATGGATACTTTTTCAGATACATGCTGAAGAGGGTGACTACAGAACAGTATCAAACGCATTTCTTCAGGACAACAACAGAAAAGGAGACCATCGCAACGATGCCACCCCAGACTCAACGAAGGTTGTTGTAAAACAGATTGTTTGTAGTCGCTTCCAAAATTTTTACATTAACGACACGGTTTAACAAAATTTAATAATCTTTTATTTGCATTAGGTATACTTGTATCAAATAAAGAAAGCTATTTTATTTAAAAAGGAATGAAATAGCAATCGCTTTTCGTATTAGTATTAAAATCTGTCTTGAATTTGCAGATGGGCACTATACCATCAATGTTGTCGCCAAGTGGGAATACAGAAGAAAAGAAGGTATGATTTATGTATTTTTGCCATACATTACATAGAATATTGCATACTTACTTATTCACATTCAAGTTTGAGGTGGTATTTTGCTTGCAATTAGGTATCTTCATTCTAAATTTTGACTTAAAGTAATAATATAAGTGAAAATAATTTTACTAATTATTTTTTCAATCTTTACATCTAAAACAGATTTTCGTGAATAATATTTCACAATAAGTACATTGGGTTAAAGTGCCATCTAGTGGAAAAATCGTAAAATACTTCGTGTTTACCGATGCTGGATCATTTTCGTTTTGAGTTTTCTTTTTGATGACGTGACGGGACCGAAGGTAGGTAGGTATCTAAACGATGTTCAACAAGTGATCGGTAATGGCGGATGGTTGGTGTTCGCGTCCCGTAGTACTATTTATAACCTAAAATATAGTACAAGTTTTCAGCGATATGTACGCTAACGTTTCGCAGTTGTGTGGATTTGTGCCGTTATACTATACTATTGTGCCAATGTCTTATGGACTGTGCGTTGATTGAAAAAACAGCCAATAAATGAATTTTCAGTGAAATGATATTGCACATATAATTTTGACATTCACACTGCTGATATTTCGTATTCGTTTCAAGTAAGGCCATATAATATACACTAATCTATTTTTAAACCTTTAGTAATTTCTTTATAATTTGGGAACATTCTCAATTCATAGGTGAGACTAAAGGAGACTTACGATAGTTTTGCTTGTGTCAAATCGCTGTTACTTGCTGATTGTTTTACCTACTTACAATAAATATTACCTAGCAGTCTGAAATTGCACGTAAAATAACGCAACACGGACATTCTAATTAAAGTTCATCGCTTTGACATTCATACCATCCTATCATTGAACACAATCTGTGACAAACCATTAACTGCTAAGCCATACATCGTAATATCATTATCAGAAAAAGGGTACGGCTCGATTATAACATTCATTAGATAAGGACTTGGTGCAATTTTCAAAAAGCTAATAAGTTAATCAGCTTAAATAATGGGGTTAAATGACTTACGCGATGGTGTTAAATCATAAATATGGTCAAAGAATTTAAGAGAGTTGGTGCAAGTTAGAAGTGGGTTCTAGGTAGAGAATGGTGCATGCTGATCGTCGCCAAGTAAGGTGCTCAGGACAATCACAAGTGTGTAACTAACAATGCATGCAGTGTACATAGTGTAGAGCAGAGGTCATTTTAAGTGCCCAAAGGCTATGCACACTTGTTACCCAAAATGACTGAAAGACGAAAGAAAAAAACACACAATGGATTCCTTCGAAAAGTATCCTCCTTGTTTAATCTTGACACGGTGAGTGAGCTACAAGTGGTTGTATTTTAGAATTAAAAATATTATAAGATACAAACTTGAACTATGTACTGACCAACATTTCATGTTGTCAAAACATGTTTAGCATAGTGAAAGTAATTTCTTTCCATAATGTAGGTGAAATGCCACCTCAAAATATTACCTCAATTTTAATCACTCATTTATTCCATTTATAATACAATAATAACACTTTAATTTATCCGTAGAAATAATATAGTATTTCATTATTTTTTTTTAAAAAGGGACCAGTTATAGTTGATGTTCCAATTTCAGGCTCACATTACTACGCCAGATATGAAGCAGGTAAGTGTATCTTATTTAATCCTATTATTCCATTCTAAATTCCTCGCGTGTGGCTTGCACAAATTTAAAAAACCTTCAATTTCAATAATGTAAAATGGCAAGGACCAAACATTTATTAATATTTTGATTTAATGGTATCAAACCTCTACATTTGTCATTCATGTAATTCATAAAATAAGTAATAATATACATTGTATACATTATTTAATACTTTAAATAATTATAACTGTTTAATTCATTATCTTTGTTTCCATTGCTTTTAATTTTAATGTTAATTGTCATAATCTTAATGGCTTGTTATATTAAATACAGTTATTTATAGTTAATTTGGTTTGAAAGTTACAGATAAATGGCATAGAAGGTGGAGGACCAGAAAGGACAGTGGGTGACGATGGATTCTTGTATCTGACCGTAGTACTTTCAAGAGCAGGGGGTGCCGGACTGGGTTTTAGTATTGCTGGAGGCTCTGACAACCCTCATGTTGCAGAGGATCCACTTATATATGTCACCAAACTTATACCAGGGGGAGCAGCAGCAGCTAGTCAACTGCAAATCAATGATGCTATTTTACAGGTTAGCAGAATTGTTTTTATTTGTATACTCAATTGCAAGTAGAGCAAAGAAAACAAAAAGATGGAGAACTATAAGGAAAAATCACAAAAACCCTTCACAGAGCACTCCATATGGTATTGTGGTCCCTACCCCTAAAGTGAACATAAAAAGGACCAGGACCTCGCGGCGGAGGTCCTGGCTCAGAGAGTTCAGGCGAAGCGCATGGAAGAGTCAAATTTAATAATGAAATAATAATTTTTTAATATTTCTAACATTACATTAATTCATTACTGATTCTTGTCTATCATTAAAAAAATTTATGTTTGGTATATCAAAGTAGTAGCCTGCTAAAATTTTATCCTAAAATCTGTGTAATTTATATTTAACTGTGAGTCTAGTTGCATTCTAATCAAATTCTGAATTCAGGTTAATGACACAAATGTTGAAAATGTGACTCATGCCGAAGCAGTAGACGCATTAAAAAAGGCTGGAAATACAGTGAGACTGGTGAGTTGATTTGTTATACAACTAATGTGAAAAAGCGGACGGATCATATTTATTGTGATATATTCTTGTCATTACAGAAAGTGAGACGCCGTACCGCAGAGGGCACTTTGACTGTACCAAGCATAACAAATAAGGAACAAGCTATAGAAATTGAATTAGTCAAAGGGGGATCGGGTTTAGGTTTCAGTATAGCAGGTGGTGTCGGGAATCAGCACATACCAGGTGACAATGGTATCTATGTCACGAAGATTATGTCAGGCGGCGCGGCCCACCGCGACGGTCGCTTGAGGGTCGGCGATAAACTGCTCATGGTCAAAAACACGTCGGTGAGTAATTTATACAGCCAACCTACATATTTGTGTCTCATTGTTTATGCACAATTTCATTTTAATTTTATTCATGAGTTCTACTTGTAAAAATTACATTATACCGATTTATTTTTTAAAAATCTAGCATCTTGATTTAATATTGTAACATTATTGATTCAGTTAATAATAATAATTAAAATATAATTATTATTAATCAAATTAAATGCCCAAACCTTGTTTGCCCCCTTGGAAGAAATAGAATTGTACAAATTTTGGCTTAAACTAATTCTATTTGCCCATTTTCTTATCTTAGTCTCTGTTATTTTTCCAATAGGCCGTAACTTTTGTTGAGGTCTTGGACAATGTAATGTTTTCTTTTGTACAGAAAGGTGACGTTAACTTGGACAATGTAACGCACGAGGACGCGGTTAGCGCGTTAAAAGCGTCAGGTGAGCGGGTGCTGTTGGTTTTGGTGCCAGGGCCGAGGCACGGGCAGCCTTCGCCGCGGACATCACGAGCGAACACACGTAAGAGACTACCCGTTTCAGAGGTTACAAATAATTACTTTTTAACTCTATAACTATCCTAATAATTATTTATATCATTCGGGCGATGTCTTTCCTCCTGCCTTTATCCCGCCCATATAACGGGTCGAGGTAAGAATCATATTGTCAATGATATCTAGATTTGTGGGTCACACAAATACTTGTCCCGTGTGAGTCGAACCTACGATCCCCGACGCCGAAGCCAATAGCTTAGCAATTACGCCACCGAGTAATCCGATTTATTTGATCATGTTAAATAGGAAATGATAATGTAGCGAATGAATTCATATGATGCTGTATGTTTGGGAATTTCTTACATGCCTTTGTTATATTAAAAAACCCACGTTGCGCCACGTTTTGAATGTTGCTGCGCCGGTGCAATTGGAACAGCATCCCTCAGACCCCCATATTGAGCGACAAACACCCCCCTACCCGGGGAATGTTGCGCGCCTAGGCCAACCTCTTACGCCCTGGTCTCCGGCGGCGGACATCCAGGGTTGCAGTTGCCTCCCTTAATCTCTCCGCGGCCACCCTCCGGGTGATTAAGTCCTCACCATCACACGGCCTCTCGCCGGTCAAAGCGCGAACCAACCACCACCCCCTAGCTGCCCTCGCAGCCTCACAGCACAACCGAGTATACGACCGCTTATGTGCCTTAATAATAACAACATCGCCCCCTCTAGCGTCGAGCGCGGTGAACTCGCTGCGGCGCGAGGACGCGACCGACGGCGGCGACGAGCAGCCGCGCGTGGTCGAACTGGAGAAGGGCCCGCAGGGGCTGGGCTTCAACATCGTGGGCGGCGAGGACGGGCACGGCATCTACGTGTCGTTCCTGCTGGCGGGCGGGCCGGCGGAGAGGTGCGGCGAGCTGCGCAGGGGCGACCGGCTGCTGGCGGTCAACGACGTGGACATCACGCACGCCACGCACGAGCAGGCCGCCAAGGCGCTCAAGGTGCGGGACCGCTTTCCCCGATACTTACTGACCGCACAGGGCAGTAATAATTGTGTTTGTTACCTCGCAACTCAGTAATTTGTGACCTGTTTTAAAATTTCTCTAAATATCCGACTTTGTCATTTTATAATTTTAGTATAGAAATGTTCAATTGATTACTATTCAGGCACAAGGTCAACTAAGGAAATTCAGTAGTACCAAAAACACATTGTTTTCCCATAGAATGAATGTGATATAAAGTTTTTAAATTATACAACTTTAAGAGTATTAAAAAATAAACTTAGGAGATTATAGTTTAGTATTTTATTTTTCACAGCCAATTGCTAAGTTTTGATTCTTTGATAGAATAATACTATATATACTTCGGCATTTTTTACCGTATGTTTTTATTGAACAACAACACATACGATATAAATGAAACAAATTTTACGGATTTATCGCGTTTATTTCATTAGTTTCATTTATAATGTGTAATCGCGTAAATACAAGAAATTATTATGTAATAAGTTGTATTAGAAGAAATCGCCAATAATATAATTATTTGCTACAGTAATGATATAAAATTATTATTTTGTTTCTCAGGGAACTGGGCAGAATGTTAAACTAACGGTGGTCTACCGACCTCAGGAGTATAATAAGTTCGAGGCACGGATAAATGAGCTGAAGCAACATCATACGCTTTTGAGAACGTCACAAAAACGATCACTCTACGTCAGGTAAGAGCATCTTAACTACATAGTATAAAACTAAGTCGTCCCGCCGTCTATCTGTCTCTATGTATGCTTAGATCTTTAAAACTAAGCAACGGATCTTGATGCGGTTTTTTATTAGATAGAGTTATTTAAGAGGAAGGTTTATATGTACAATACATTGCACGCGTAAGAAGCCGGGGCGGGTCGCTAGTGATCTTATAAGCAGAAAAATTTGAGCCGTGGATTTCGACATGACTAAAATGTTTTGTTATGTAAGTTCGTGTTGTATGTAATGATTATTGACTAATAAAACCTACTAACTACGTTGCGTATAATACCATTCGAGAATTACTTTCTATTCATAAGATTTTTAATATTCAATGTTAAATGTATCAAAATTACTTATTCATTTCAATATGAATTATTCCTCCACATATTTAAAGTGGCTATTAGTAATGTCATCAATTGTGCTATTGACATGAATCCGACAATTGACTAATTGAGATATGACAGTACATAAGTTGAGATATGACAGTCCTTGGGATATTGTTCGTTCATTTATTGTTGATTCATTCTTCGTGTTCATTGGAGACGTATATGATTTTGATTTATATAATTACTAGCGGGTCGCACCGGCTTCACGCGGGTGCAATGTATTGTACATATAGACGAAGGTTTAGCGGTTTTTTTTACTAGATAGTGATCCAAGAGGAAGCTCTCTAAAAAAACCGCATCAAGATCCGTTGCGTAGTTTTTAAGATCTAAGAGTACATAGGGACAGACAGACAGCGGGGCGACTTTGTTTTGTACTATGTTGTGATACTAAAGGAATGTTCCCCTTTACTTCACGTCTGACAGAGTTATTAAGCGATAAGAAGCGACGTTGTAGGGCGTAGCTTCGATTTTCACACGGGACAGGTTTTAGTATGTAAAACTTAAGAGACGATTTTGATTTAGATCTTTCCGGTCTTGTTGCTGTTAAATTGTGTATGTATTAAAAGAAAGAAATAATTTAGTATTTGTCTCTCTTTTGAAATTGCAGAGCATTGTTCGACTATGACCCCGTAAGGGATGACGGACTACCCTCACGGGGCCTCCCTTTCCGCTACGGTGACATTTTGCACGTGACGAATGCATCCGACGACGAGTGGTGGCAAGCGAGGTAATTATGAGTATACAGTTTTTAATACATTAGTATAAAATACAGTAAGTGTAGTAAAGAACCACTTAGTTACGTGTGTAAATAAAACCTTAGAAGTAGAAAGTTCTAGTTCAAATCATACCTTACATCATACTTATTTTGTATATTTGCACATATACATTTTACATCATCCAAGATAGTCACGATAAACTTATTACGATCAGGACAAGTCAAGAAATGTTAGGGTATGGAGTAAAGTAATGAAAGTGCATTACAATTCCTGACCTCTTTGTAACTACAATGTGTTCATCATAAACATATTTATTAACAGTAAAACCATGGTTTTTATGTACTCTTATTATGTTGAACGTTCGTGACCGAATAAGAGGTATTCATAATATATTTTTGACTATAGTTGTAATATAACTATCGGTAATGCGTCTAAATTTCACTGATTCATAACAGTACTTCTGTGACAATATATTGTATCCTTCACACGATACATAGGAATTTTACATCTAAAGAGAATGTTGCATTATCCATCAGATAAGGTATTCACTGCAATTAATGCAGAACACGCTTCAATATCGCCTGCGTGCGTGCGAGTGTCACATATTAATTTCAGACTCCTTTTAAAGCTAAACCGAGCTAAATGCATTCGACACGTAGGCAACACTATCCGATCGATTCTTCGCGAGAAGACGTCGATTTGTTTACGACGTAATCTTGAGATTCCTTATTATATACAATACACTTCATATTATCTGTGCGAAGCAAGGCGTCTTTCGTACTAAAATATTTATGTGGCGTAGTAACACTCCGTATTTATTATATCTAAATCTTCTTAAAGATTTAAAATAAACATATTATAATATATTATGATATTCTTTCTTCTTGTATCATCAAAGTCGTCATTTACACAGCCTTTTTAAGAGGTTTCTATCTCTATTTTCAAAGTAAATTTCCTTTAATTTTATAGCTCCGCGATAAAAAAGTATTAGGGGCTTATTTTTAATTATATTTATAACTGTTGACATGAAAAATAATATTAACTTACCTATATATTATATTTCCATATCAAAAATAATCCCTTCAGACGATTGGACACGACGGACGCGGACGCAATCGGCATCATTCCGTCGAAGCGCCGCTGGGAGAGGAAACAGCGCGCCAGAGACCGACAGGTCAAGTTCCAGGGACAAGGCACGCCCGTAAGTACTGTAAGTTGTAAAACCCTTCTTATTATTTTTCGCTCTTGATTCGTCGATTGTACTTTACAGCCGTCGGAAGTGTCTATAGAACATTGATATGATTGCGATAGACGATTTCTAACATTCAATTTGCTCCAATTCTTTTTGTAAAAATATACTTACTTTCCTTATACTTCATGAAATTACGCACTAAGAAGTAAATATTTACGTTCCACTATTTTCCTGGCGAAACAATTTTATTTTATCGTATGAATCTCATAAATTATTTTAAACAACAAATTTTTGTAATGCTATTTAATTGTCCGGTAATTGTTTATCAATATAGCGTTCAACGTTCTAAACATTTGTTTGAATTCGCGTCTTGTTAACTATAAAATAATTTCTCCAAAATCGCAATTTTAACTTGAACTTATCAAAAAGTTATAAGGAACCACATGATTGTGTTGCAATGATTTTCTGTTTCACAAGTGTTAAAAATAAAACAGTAACAAATTTTATAACACAAGTTAATTCAAGTGTTTAATTTTTTTTTAATTGAATCATTTTATATTTGTTGTGGAAACTTTTGTTTTTCCCGGCCACTTGATAAAATGAAGAAGTATACAAAACCCTTTTGATAATTCATTGCGCAGGAAAGATTAATTTATTATTCATTGCCTTATATTTTGTAAGATTTTCAAATAAACTAAATAAATCCACATTCGATGTTTTGCGTATCTTTCATATTGTTCAGCATAACAGAAACCACTTAATTTCCTTTATTTTGCATGTTTACTTTATTTCATATTACAAATTCATAGTTTTTTAATTTATTTTCTTTCAGTACACATTTTTTCCTTATATTTTATTCCATTATTTATTCCATTCCTTCAAATGTTATTTCTTTTTCATCTCATAGAGCCAGTCTACACTTGAGAGGAAAAAGAAGACATTATCGTTTAGCAGAAAGTTTCCCTTTATGAAGAGCCGGGAGGATGGCAAATCTGAAGATGGTTCGGATCAGGAACGTAAGTATTTTTTTATGTGTATAGTCATCGGTAATATTCACGGTTTTATATAATTATAAAAATAAAATTAAACGTGATAATATTAATATATAATTTTTTGAATTATTTTTTAATTTAAAGTATTTGCGAATGTCCAAAAAAATATTTCTTTGAAATATATCATACACTATACACATGATAATGTAACTATTTCTATTCTAACTATATGTAACTATTCTATTCAATTATTAATTACAAAGTTATGATGTTAAAAAAAATCGAATAAACGAGATTTAGTTAGCTTCAAAACAACTAGATTTTTTTTTAATGTCAGAAAGTGGCAAACGAGCTGGCGGTTCACCTGATGTTAAGTGATAACCTCTGCCCATGGATATTTGCAACACCCTTAGGGTTGCAGATGCGTTGCCACCTCTTAATAATGTGGGCCCCGGCTACCTCACTCACCAGACGGAACGCAGAAGTGCAACACTTCTAATTTACGCCGGTCTTCTGTGAGATCGTGAGACTAACCTGGACGGACCCGCCCATCCGTGCGCCAGTGTACACTGTTGCGTGGTCCTACCACCGTTAATGGTATAGAAAACGAATTACTGTATTAAAATGATTGTATTCTTGTTGCAGCTTTCATGCTTTGTTACACGCAGGAAGACACAAATGCGGATGGTAAGTTTGCAGACATATTTGATTTTTTGATTTTTTTTTCTTTTTCGCTGTTCATCATACGTAGGTTTCATAGTTCAGCCGTATTTTATACGATCGTATTACAGTTACATAGCTTTTTTTAATTTATTATTAAAACCTCTATTGACAGAATTTGTTCATTTGCCTGTTACATAAGTTTGAATAAGTTTATAATAATGTATATGTCAAAGTAAATAGCTCTTCCCAAAGTTTAATTGTTTAGTAAATCTCAACAATATATTTTAACTATATTTTATTTTAAGGTCTTCTTTTTTTTTAAATATGAACACTATACTGTACTTTATTGATAATAACAACTGTCATACGATCAATTTTTACCAAACGCTGTATCAGACGCATTCCAGTGCGGCTACCGAAATCAACTCTAATATTTTGTTTAACATAGTGAAAGCACGACTATATGACATTAAATTTCATTTTTTATAACAGGGAAAAAACTGTTTTCACCATAAAAAACTTGAGGGACATTGATCTTAAAGTTGCAGCAACTTAATTACTGCATTGGTTTACTCAATGACAGTCATTTTGCTGCATTAATGTAAATTAATGCAATTGATTATTTTTAATGAGTTATAATTATTAGGACAAACACATCAGCATGGTTTCACTATGATCTCTGCAAATGAAATGTTTCCTTCATTGTAGTTCATGGTGAAATTGAAAGTAGTCATTCCACGTGTTATATTTAATAAGTAGATGTTAATGTAGTTATTTTAGGTTGAGTCGAAAGTTAAATGTATATTTTATATGTATTCCCTTGATCATAATAATAATATTGGTCATAATATATATATTTAGTGTTGTTATATAATATTTCTACCACTTGGGATATAAGGTTTGTAATTTAAATATGGCAAAGCAAATCCAAATATTTTATTGAAATATCTTACTTCATTTTTTCTTCCTATTCCTTAAACACATGGTTTTGGATTATTGTCTAATATTAATATGAAATTCTACTGTTATAATTACTTTACCATAATTAGGTTTCTTTAAATAATTAATCAAGAAAGAGAAGAAGTTATGAATCAAAAACTGTTTTTGCTCGATACACAAATAATAATATAGATATAATTATGATTAACTACCTTTATCAACCATGCATTGATGTGACTCGGTGTAGCTAAATACAATAAAAAAAAGGTAACCAATGAAATTTATACTAATTATTACTATATAATCACATCATCACAATACTTATTATAAATACATAATTTGTTATTTTCAAAAAGAAATTATGCATATTATATTTAATTAATTGTTTATAAAAAGCATTAATTATTTATTGGGTTGGCAACTAAGTAATTGCAGATTTGTAAAATGCAATAAAAGATATTTTTTAAAGTAAAGTTTAACCTATAATGTATTTTCCATTTTGTTCGATGACCTTTTTGCCAACTCTCTGACAACTTAAAAATTCCACGCCTGTAGAAAGTCTCAACCTTTTCGGGCAAAAACTGAGTTAAGTGAGATTTTACAGCATCATAATCATTGAAAGTTGTACCACGAAGGGAGTTGTCCAGGGATCGAAATAAGCGGTGATCCGATGGCACGAGATCAGGGCTATATGGCTATATGTAACATCAATTCCCACAACGATTAACAACTTCGATTCAGAAATAATAAAGCAAAATATGGCGAAAATTCCGAAAGTTTTTGGACTCCATATTTATTAATATTATTATACTCCATATTATAAATATTATTAATATTGAAGTATAAAAAGATTAAAATAGTATCTATGGAATGAACTTGTAAAGCTAGATAAGGAGGAGATCGTACATATGTATATAAGAAGAAGATCATAACATTTACGGATATCATAAAAATGAGACTAACTGAAATCTGCGATCACTAATTTGCCAACCTATTACATAAAAACATATAGGGCATGAAAGAAATAGAAACAAAGAAACATAACATTTGTTTATGGATTTCTACCTTTAAAATTAAAAATAGAAGATAGAAAAGGTCTTTAGCTAAGCTGCAACCAAAAACCCTGCGAAGACATAAAATGGAATTATTAACTTCAGGTTACAATATTGCTTAGTGATTTTCAATGTTTAACCTTTTCTTATAAGAATAATTTAACAGAGTTAGGACAAATAAAATAATTCAAAGCAACAAACCTGCACAGGATCTTATTAATAAATATTTATCATATCTAATTGTATTAATACTAGTGAATCCGTTTGGTTTTTGAACGTAAGTGGACATGTCAAATAATTATAATTTCAGACTGCTAGCAACTATACAATTACACCTAGCGCCATCTACCGACCAGCTATCGATGTTGCGAAATTTGTATAAGAATAAAGAGCTGCATGTTAGCTTGCTTCCGTAATGAAACCATGTAAAAGTTTCCAACTCTTAGCTTATGATGTAGCTACTACAGCCAGTAGTCTTAAGGTACCTCCGATTAACCATTTCTCTGTGCCGGAACCAGTTTGTGTCGTGGGGGAAAGAGACGAAAGATAGGCGGTAGATAAGATCGTTTGTCCGAAGGTAAATTAGATGGCTCAGTGTATTATGTCCAGGTATTAATGTCCGCTTTGCACAGCTGTGTGGTTAGACGTTGAAAACAATAACATGGGTGAACTGGAGGGGTTGTGTGCGAGCGGCGCGCCCGCTTGCTATTGGTGCGGGATTGTGCTTCTAGTTGCCTGACCGGAGACAATGCCCACCCGTTATCACCCGATCGATTGTTGAGTCTTTTTATTTGCACCTTATGCTCCACGGCGCCGTTCCCGAGTGTCCACATACGTGCTAGCAATTGTAATGGTACTTAAACTTTCCCTTTGACCGACTCGCTATTTAGAGAACAACTTCTCTGCAACTGTCCCCATCGGCCCTGGCGCCTGAGCGCCGTCGTGTAGAATATCTTTAAGATGTGTGTAACGTTAATTTTTCTACGTGTAGGGGAAATCTTGTACCGAGTGGAACTTCCCATGATGGAGGAGATAACGCTCATATATCTCGAGGACGAGTGTAAGTTTTGGGAGTGGGGAGTAGCTTGCGAGTGCCGTAGCGGACATACCTTACCTCCCGCATTCTGGTTATGATCATCAAATTTAGAGAACGTAGTTTTCATTTTGAATAACACCTCGATACTCTTATACTGTTCCTGTGTCATTTACTTTTTTTTTTTTTTTCAAGTTTTTTTTTTCGTTTTTTTATTTCTTTTACTCCTAATTCATACAACGCGAGATTTCTAATGGCCTATCCTCACACGATTCTCCCGTCTACACTCACTCGCGTCGTGCCATCTTTGTTCCGTGGTTGCGACGCGACCTCGCGTGATTCCGGGCCACAGTGTATTCAGATAACGCGGGCCCATATAAACATAACTTGGAGCGAGAGTGGGGCCACTGGAAGCACACGGGCTGGACAGCCGCCTCCCTTACCGCCGACGCTTGTAAAGTAACTCGCTTCACAGCCTATAGTCGCCTAGACACCAGCATGACCGACATTGGTGCGTCAAGTCACAATCACCGCATCATAACGGGCTTGTTTCAAAGTTCCCGCCACCAGAACACCGCTGTGCCGGTACGATTCAGCATCAACAGTATCGCTTCGAACACATAGACGCTGTAATTATTTTTATTAGCCTAGCACTTGCAACGTGTTTTTTACTCGTGTATACATTTGCTTTTTTTATACATGTTCTATACGAGTATACATAAAAGTTGAGATTTTGCGTACAGTCAAAGCCAGAATTAAGACTGCTCGAGAGCTTCGTCGTTGCAATATTTTTTTTTAATCGAGATTGCGGTTCAATTTAATCCTGGCTGTTTATCGACTTTGTTCATTTATGTTAATGGTAAATAGCATGAATGGAGTTTTTCTTGATTTCGCTTTATTTGGCCAAGTACCTTATCTGAACGATATTCAAAGGTTTTGCTGTAGTTTAAATTTTGAAGTTTATCACTCTGTGGGATAAGGTGCTTACGAATGCTTCGACGCGTCGAATTTACCGGTATATACCATTACCACTTTACAAATGCGATGTTAATGAAACAAATTAAAATAGTATAGTTTCATTCAGTATGGTTATAAAAAGCACTTGTAAGAAGCGAAATAAACCCTACAAAATGAAGATGATACGGATCCACTTTATATCGATTCTACTAGAAAACAAACATTATTTCTAGGTTATCGAAACTAGATTTCACCTAGCACGCCTGGCACGAATAACTACGATTATTTCTCATTTAAACTATTTCAAATCGTCATTCGAAAGCAAATTCTCTGTTGATAATTTCTGCCGTTTTCTCAATTTATTACCTACGTTCAAACATGGCATGTTGTACACAAGGAATTTGTTTGTACTAGCGTAGAGCTGTTGAATCTTTTTAAATGTATATTCTATCTATATACGTGTCTTCGATTGGAGAAAACCTGTGCTCTCCTAGAGAACACGACAAATTGATTAAGAATGTCTCTTTAGGTTTTAGTTAGTGTATACTAAGATTTCACTACGCTGCACCTCGGCATATATGTTACACGTGTCAACGCGTGCGTTTTTGTGGTTTACAGGCCAAGATGAGAACGTCTTGTCGTATGAGACGGTACAGCAGTTGACCATAAGCTATACCCGGCCTGTCATTATCTTGGGTCCCCTCAAGGACAGAATAAACGATGACCTCATCTCGGAGTTCCCGGACAAGTTCGGCAGCTGCGTGCCTCGTGAGTAACGTAACACTAATAACGATACAATAAGAATGGTCCTACGTAAATATACTTTGCATTTGGACGCGAATCAATAACCTTGGGAATCATTTGCTAGTGTCAATTTATACTACGGACTAGTAGCTTCGTAGTTTTCGGAGCGCATTATTATTGATTGTGTTATTTATCACTATGGGTTTCTATTATTAAGTCAATTGTTAATAGACCTATTCAAGTTTTAAGTCATCACTAATGACTGGCACGGTTGCTAACCTATTAGCTTCGGTGCCGTGGGTCGAGGGTTCGATTACCACGACGGGACAAGTATTCGCGTGATCCACAGATAGTTCCAGATCTAGGCATTTATTCCCACGGAGGGTTGACGTCCGGCAGTCGCGATAGTCTTAAAAACCTAGCCATTGCTATTAACAACATGATTCACGTGGAGTGCCAACCCAACCCAGGGTGGGATAAGGCCAGCAGTAAGAAGTCATCACGACGTTTATAACCGTATGGGTGTGCAAATATCGCGAGAAAACCCGTAAAAAAGAACAACTAAAATATTTTAAAGTCTCGCGGTGGCAATGCCCTTATACCACCTGTACAGACAAGGGTAACAATATAATTTTATATTGTTTCACTGTCCGAACAGATACAACGCGGCCGCGTCGCGACTACGAGGTGGACGGCCGCGACTACCATTTCGTAGCGAGCCGGGAGCAAATGGAGCGCGACATTCAGAACCACCTGTTCATCGAGGCCGGCCAGTACAACGACAACCTGTACGGCACCTCGGTCGCCTCAGTGAGAGAGGTCGCCGAGAAGGTAATATACATATCACCCTTCAACAGTTGGCAACACTGCGCGGCAGGGCTGCCAACCTTTTTGTAGGCGTAAGCAAACTGTACGCGTTAACCCTTAAATGGGGATTCTATTATATGCGAAACCAGGAACACAAATGAAATCCTAAAGTGCAATTTTTTTAATGTTTTTTTTAAGTTGCCAAACGCTGACGGATCACCAGATGTTAAATGAATACCCCATGAACATCTGCTACACCCTAGGGTTTGCAAATGCGTTGACAACCTTTTTGGAAATTGGACTCCGGCTACCCCACTCACCAGACGAAACGTGAAAGTATACTTCCACTTTACGCCGGTCTTCTGTGAGGTCCTGGTACTTACCCGGACGAGCCTGCCCATTCGTGCAACAGCCGAGGCTGCTGCGTGGCTCTACCACCGTAATTTTACTTTCACTACTTCATCTTCTGAATATTCATACAATACAAAATAGTACCTATTAAAGTCAAACCGGTAGTTCATGATGTTTTTTAAGACTGGTATACCAGCATTGAATAAAAGTGATTTAAGCATATGATGTGATTTCTGAAAGTGACGAACACTTTGACGAGATTACGAAAATCGTGTAGAAATTAAGTGATTAAAATATTAGTAAATAATTAATGGTTTGTTTTACAGGGCAAGCATTGCATTTTGGACGTTAGCGGAAATGCCATAAAGAGATTGCAAGTCGCGCAACTTTATCCCATTGCCATATTTATAAAACCAAAGAGTGTAGATTCTATAATGTGAGTATTGGTTCCACTTATTAATTCGATACAAGTCGTTCAGTTGCTAGTTCTAAAACAGATTCATTGATCTCAATGTTGTGTTTTATTTTAGGGAAATGAATAAGAGAATGACAGAAGATCAAGCAAAGAAAACGTATGAGCGCGCATTAAAAATGGAACAAGAATTTGCTGAATACTTCACTGGTCAGTAAACATTAATTGAGACAATTATATGCATAGAGAAATTATTTAAAATTATATCGGCACAAAACTATTTCTTGACTGATATAAAAAACGTTTGTAACGCCCTTTTTAACGACGAAGTACTGAGCTGCACTCGTTTATAAATAAATCATTATAATATAAATGTCAACAAAACGTTGATAAAAGTGATAAATAGTTAATGAACCATATGAAATACAACCTAGATGTTTAAAGTGCACCAAAGAAGTGTATTTATTCACATAGACGCTAGCGCGTTCCTATGAAATGTCAAAATTTTACATAAAAAATTAATACGTTCGTTAGTTACCAGTTTGAGAAACACTGCCCTAGAGGTACCCCTTCTATCGACACAGCCGCGAACATCACTAACGTGCCAACGTTGCCCCAACAGCCGTGGTGACAGGCGACACGCCCGAGGAGATCTACGCGAAGGTGAAGGCCGTGATCACGGCCGAGAGCGGGCCCAGCGTGTGGGTGCCGCGCAGGGAGCCGCTGTGAGCCGCGCCCATCTCGCCCATGCGCGTCATCGTCTACTGACACTGGCGCGGGGCGGGGCGGGGAGCCTGGGGGGATGGGGAGGGGGAGGGCGAAATCGACGCGCCCAGCACACGTCAGGAGGGGAGAGATGCAAACGTTCCCCCAAATTGGTCCCCCGTGTTAGCAAATAAGTCCACGAGTCCAGCGAAAGCGCACGTGACACAGACCCGAGGTGTCTTAAGGTCATGCTCACCGAGTATGAATAACGCGACTACGTGATCGATATCTCGTTTACGTTCACGTGAAACGTCGACTGGTCGTCGTTTATCGGTGGGAGCTCGGAACGTTTGCGTCTCTCGCTTGGAACTTTGATATGCGTATAGTATTTGCGACGACGCTCAATTCGAAGTCGGAATCTCCTGTACGGTTACACCGCGATACGGCTCTATTGAGCTACAGTTCTAAAGCTGCGTTGTTAGGAAATGTAGCAATACTACAGTTTGCAATAAGTATCGTATGCACGTACACAATCCGAATAAACCGCGATAGCCTTGGAAATTTGTACTACTACGTAGACGTTGTTACGCAAAATGAAACCAACAAAGTTCTCTTTAGTTGACTGCAACTAAAGAGAACGAAAATGAACGAACATATTTTACTAAAAGAAAATTAATTCTTCTCGCAATATATTTGGCTTATTAAAATTGAGGCATTTTCAGGTGGTTGGCGTAGTTCTGCGTAACCTTGTCTGATTGAATAACACGTTAGTCACAATATGCGATACTTAATTGTAAATAGCATGGGAGTTTATACCTCACGTCTCTTTAAAAGCAATAGGCGGGCGCGTTGCGATAAACGATGCGAGCCGCATAGTTGTGATAAAACCGACTGCGTTGTTTTAACATCGTAACTTTAAACGTCCCCGTCGTGGACACGTATAGCGTAAGATGGTTTTCGATTTCTAATTTCAATGTAAATTTTCACTCGAGCGTTACTATTGACAGCTTTCACTGTAGGGTAATGTTGTGCTTTTACGTTGTTATTGTGCAAAATCTAATATGTAGCATGATGTTTTGTGAGGAGCAATGTTGACATTAAAATTTAATTTATTGAATTAAAACGATAAATATATGCTTGAATTAACTATGTAAATTGTATATTATATAAATTAAAAAAAAATATTCATGTTATTTTTAATGGGGTTGCTAGATACTTTGAGCGCTAAGGATACTATTCATTAAAGTAACCTCTATGTACACAAGTTTTAAAAGTTATTGGCATCGGCTCACGGTGCACAGAGAATGTTGAATTATTACAAACTAGCTATATTAGTTGTTTACTTATAGTGCAGTATCGTTCACTGACATGTGCCCGTTGAAAGAGAACTGTTGGAAATTGAAATAAAGTCGAAATTTGCAACACGCTCACATGTCGGTGGAAATCGCTGCATTGTGTAGTCCAACCCACCTCACGCGAGTCCTGCATGGCTAGGCTAAGACGTATTATATAAATATAATCGGAATTATTTGCTCAAGCGGCAATCCGTTTCGTAGTCGTTGAATCTCATGACACTCGGCACACCAGTGTCCCACCACACTTAGGCGATGTGCAAAGTTTGTTAATCATTTTTATAGTAAGGAATTGTGTTAACGGTGTGATGATGTCTCACCATATAGTGTTTGACATTAATTTATTGAGAATTTTATTTTCTTACGGACTAAAATGGAATGACCATCTGCAAATATGGCGCTACGAGCAACCTCTGACACGATGCATTATCTGTGTATCTAACATAATAAATGACTTAAGTGCAATTGTGTACAACAAACTCTGTACTTAATTATGTTTTGTTTCGCAGGGCATTTCTGAATATCGTACCGTAGATTAGTTAGCTCCAAGACATGTGAAAAAAGATTACGACTGACTATTTTAATGTTTGATACATCCTTATTGACTAATAAGGGACCTATCAAACCTAGTTACCAAAGTTATTCAGTAATGGTACAAATATCACCGGTATTGGCGGAATCGTTTGGCGAGTCAAAATTATGTTTTACGTACTTAAGGTATTATTATATTTATTCGACTTTTCCCCCAAACGGTGTTCAGTTGGTCGTGATTTTCTTTTTAAATATGTAAATAGTATTTATCGTTTGCATATATTAATCTCTCAGTATTTTTGTATGATGCTTGTATGCTACAATGCGCCTTTCTATGTAACCAGTGGGGTGCATGATGAATTTTTTATTATATTTTAATTTATGTTTTAAGTTAATCCGACCTGATGTTTAACATAATTATATAATTGTGGTAATAATTTGTTTTAAATAGCTATTTATTTTATAGTACTAAGTAAATATTGTATTCAATTAATTGTTATGATTGTGTAAAATAATAAATTTAATCTCTTTTAACATGTACTATTTTAACATTTTATCAGAATCCCATATTTGCAGATGTACAATGTTTATCAGTTAGTGATGTTCAATAGACTAGTTTGAATAAAATTATTTACGTTGAAAATTCTACTCGGTGTTCTTATTATAAACCATATCCATTAATGGCCAGTTTCAATATTCTATCTATCTGAAGATTTGGTTACTAGAGATGGATGACCTAATGTCAAATACCTGTCGCTAGTAACCGAATGTACAGATAGAATATTGAAACGGGCCGTTATCTATTCCATCATACAACATAATTAAAATATTTTTACAACGTAATTTCTCCTACATCTATTAGGGAGATATGTCAGCAATGTTAATATGATCCATTTATTAATATTTCAATAAGTTTATATTTAAGTTTATTAATAAATTATTTAAAATTATATATTTAACTATATTTACAGAGCTAATGGAGACTATATGCTAAGTACTAAACATAAATCTTTATGATGTTACTTATATTTTTTGTTTCTCAGAATTCAGTACATTGTGCAGCTGGATACGAATTACAAGTGAGGTGCCGGGTATGGTTATATGTGATACGATTTTTTTAATGTGGATTGGAAATTCTTATCTTGCACAGTACCTAGCCAAAGTATATCATAGGTCATTTTAACGTTTACAAGTGACGTTTGTTATATCGATATTGATACTTCTCATTTCAAATAACACCCTACGAACAGTTTTTATTTTTTTATATGTATTATAAAAAGCATCACCCTCACTGGTCATTATGGTGTTAAAGTACCCGTATATTATTTTTTTAGGGTGCAAAGTATGGAGAATGAAGAATGTTATAATTTTTAGGGGAGGCCCTATGAGAGTGCTGCCACATATTTAACCATATTTTTGAATACTCTTAATCTATTTTTCACGTGATTTGTAAATATCGATTCATATCTAAGTTTTAGTATAGACAGGCCAAATCAAAGATATCGTTCGAATTTAGTGATAACGTTGGGTAATTTTCAGTGCGGTGCGGTGTGTCGAATACTTGATATCAAATCTTGCGCGTAAGTATTTTTCAATTATTACGTAATGCGTTTTTTTATTTATATAACTTGTTTAAATCTCTTTAATTTAATATTTTCGCTTTTTTTTAATTGAAGAAAAATATATATATTAATTACTCTTGAAATGGTCAAGGCCACAAGGCTTTAACTTTTTATTATTCCGATAATAATGTACTATAATAATAAAATTGCGTTAACTTAATAATCGGATGTTATAAAACTTCGTCTGCTGAGATCCTCTTCCCAACGAAAGCGCACACGTATGCACGTGGTGTGGTTATCTTTCTTCTTTATTGCAGAATATTTCTATGCAGGTTTCTTCTGTCAGGACTCGCTCAATTGCTTCTCTTTTTAATGCAAAAGGGACCTTACTTTAATCTTAAGGGTGCAGCCTTTAACTTTAGCATCAGCATTTGCTAGAAAGCGGACACGTGAATTGTTTAATTCACTCAAATGTAATGCCTAAATAATAAAGTAAAATAAGTTTTCGCCAACAAGTTTAAAAGCTAGATTTTTGTATAACATTAATTATATATTTTTTATATCATTAATGTGATATACATTGCATTTCTGGGTATCCTATTATATTCTAGCTTCTATCTTGATAAAAGAGAGAAACTAGGATATAAAATAAAATACATAATATAAAAATATTTTATATCCGAATAGGAATTTTTTTATTTGCATACTTACTTTAATATTTTGCCTCTAATTGTAGTAAGTAAACTTATTTATTCAGTACGTAACGTGATGTAGTGACAGTCTTATGCCGTATACCTGATACACATACAAGATGATAATTATGCCAAGCATCAAATCCGAAATTTGTTATTTTTTTCTTACTTAAAAATAAAAAAGAAATATACAATTCTTACTAAATAAAAAATCTTTTCAACTGTTAAAGAACAATTCAAATAAAAAGAACTATTTCATATTTAGGATTGAGTGTCTACTAGAATAAATCAATAGGTGCGTAATCTAATTACATAGCCTTTGAGTTAGAAGTTGTAGCCATTTGAACTACACTTCTTGTACGTGTATATTGCAGGTAACGTTTTCTCTATTAATTAAGAATTTTTATAAATGTGTTATTTAAATTTTACGTTTACATGTATATTGGTATTTAGATGTTTATGGTTCTATTCGTTTTCGCGATTCTCTATATAGGGAAATTAAAAATATATAATTAATTGGGAATTTATTTGTAACTGAACAAAGTTAGTCTTTTTAAAATCATTGGTAATCACTACTTTTTCTATTTTTGTAATAAAGAATTATGCATTTAACCGATATCAGTTAATAAAAGTTATAACGAGAGGAAAATTAAGAAATATTTTCCTACATTTTAAGAACACGCTAGAAATAAATTGTTCCGTTAAATAGCAAATCCACGAGAAAATTAGTGTGGTTTAATTATTGCAGCTAACATGGTACTTAATACTTTAAGTTTTAGAATGTTTCGTAATAAAACTAGGTACTGTTTCAGATAAAATGTTCGCAACACTATTAGAGGCAGCCCGGAATTCTCCGTTCCACGGACCCCTCTCTCCTGCACTATGTGAATCCCCCGCACTCACCGAGTTAGAACCGGCACAGGTGAGACTTTTATAATTAAGTGAAAGTCATCACAAATTTACGTAGTGATTATTCTGATCTTGAATTATCTGCATATATTTCACCATAGTACCTACCTAAAATCAATTGTACTACCCTAATAATCATTTTTAAAATAATTATAGCAATATAATAATTATTTCTACCCAATTATTTTTTTATCTCCATCAAAACTGTAGTCTTAAATATGGGGTAAGCAATTTTAGCCTAGTTTAAAGACTAGAAATGAGTGGAAAATCGGCATTTAAAAATCCAGCTAGCAAAGTTTTTAAATATTTGCATATATATTTAAGTAACTAGCCTTTCTTTTCAGAAAACGATAGCGGCCTCCGCCGAGCCTGCGCAGACTTATTCTTGCGAATTCGGTTCTGCCAAATATTTTGCACTGTGTGGTGTTGGCGGCTCACTTTCATGTGGTTAGTCTTTTTATTTCGAGCATGTATGAAAATTGTAAGAAAATCATTAAAGTGTAGTCTCGTTAATAATAAATTAATTTTCACTAATTTTCGTTTGCAAATGATATCAGATAGTGGCAGTTAGGTATTAATTGCAGCCTCTGAGTACCCTGTGTGGCCTGTGGTGTAAACATTACATGTAAAAGCAGGCGTAGATCAAGCCCTCAAAAAAGATGGTCACAGCCACCCGGAAATCGGCCAAGTGTGAATCGGAGTAAGAGCTCGCTCATGATCGATATATTCCTACAAAAATTAGCGACATTCAGACCAGGGTTTTGTACAATGTTTAGTTCAATTTGGGCAAAGCTTATAAAATGTTACTTTGTTCACTCAAGAAAATAACAAAAGTACATAAATATACCGTGACAGGACATATTTTTACACCAGGTTCTCGAGTCCAAACTAAGCCTTGTTCTATGCCTTCTAGATAACTGCTAAATATACTTAAACATACTTTTGTAAAATTAATATTAAAATAATATTATAGATACATAAACACTCAGACATTGGAATACATTGTAGGTCACACAAATAGTTATCCCGTGTGGGAATCAAACCCTCGACCCCCGACGCCGAAGCCGATAGCTTGGCGATTACGCCACGCAGTCATCAAAACATTTGCAACACCCATAGGTTTGCAGATGTGTTGCCTTTTAATAATGTGGGCCCTGGCTGCCTCACTCACCAGTCGTAACACAGAAGTATAAAGTACTTGACGTCGGTCTTCTGTGCGGTCGTGGCGAAGAATATTGCGTGACCCTAATCGAAATTTTAGCTGTACTTTTTAATACAAGAGATTACTTTTTCAGTTATTACCAAATTAAGTCGATCACGGACAAGGCTGAATATCTTATCGGTTTTATAGATTGTACAAATCGCACGATTGTAAAAAGACGTACATAAAAATTGTTAGAGCATTTTTAAAGTTAGACTTTCAAAAATAGATATGACATTAATAATATTGTTACATATATTTATGCACTATTTTATTGAAATTGTCTACCGTAATTCTGATTGATTAGTGTGGAAAATTATATTCGCTACTTTCTCTTTTAATAAAAGCGTGTTCAATTTTTTAACGTAGAGTACGTAACCTAACATGGAGTTACTTAACATACCGTAAATTAAGTAAAAAATATATTTTTTTAAACAATTGCAAAAAGGTAAAAAACGATTCCCTGCTATTATAAGAAATGTATATAAATGCAATTAAATATATTTTTTTCTACAGGCTTAACCCACGCGGCGGTGGTACCATTAGATCTTGTAAAATGTCGTCTGCAGGTCGACCCAGAAAAATACAGGAATGTTATGAACGGTTTCAAACTGTCTGTAAGAGAGGAAGGCGTCCGCAGTCTGGCTAAGGGCTGGGCTCCCACACTCGTCGGTTATTCCCTTCAGGTGACTACATATTTCTGCAATTTGAGACATGCTTATTTACTCGCGTTAGAAGATCTGATATTTACTAATATGATTCAATAATAAATTTTTATACATCAATATTGCTTTGATCGCATGTCAGCAGTGAAAAAATTAGGTTAAAATTTAAGCCAAGTTATAGTGACAGACTCGTCTTTGGTGTCACCTTTGAGACTAAATAAGGTTTAGCGTGAATAGTAATAAGTATGTTGTAAAATACTAATAGGCTTTTCCCGACGTCACATGGAAAAAAACATACAATTAGGATCCGTAAGCTTGCAGATGTTATATGTGAATTACTACTTATTAATTTCTACGTTTTTGTAGGGACTGTTCAAGTTCGGGCTTTACGAGCTATTCAAAGTGGGCTACACAGACATGTTAGACGAGGAGACGGCGTACGTGTACCGTACTTTCGTGTACCTCGCCGCTTCAGCCTCTGCCGAGGTGTTCGCCGACATTGCTCTATCACCCTTCGAGGCCATTAAGGTACTAAGTACGCATTTATTCATTCATTATTATAGAAATGGTAATAGCGTACCAAATGTTATTAAAAAAATTTTAGTCAAAATATTGATAGCAAAATACACAAAAAACTGTTCTTATTTTGTGTAAATCCTGACAGAGTTCCAATACTCAGTGCCATCAGTCTTTTTTTTTTTTCTTTTAAAGACACGGACTTAGACCCATTTAGCAAGAAGGTAATAAAAAGGAGTTACAATAGAACGGACTTCAAATTTATAGATTTAAGCAAATTTACTTTTGCACAGAATTTTCACTTCATTATATAAAGTAATAAAAATACTCAGGCGCTGTCTATTTATTTCGGTACCCTTCAAAACCTACCACGTTTCTCGTGTGCACACATTTTTAAGTTTAAAATAAGGCTCTTGCCTTATCCTAAAAACTTAATGTTAAAAATATTCTTATATAAGAGTGGCTAATAACGTGTACATTGTTGAGGTAAAATAAACAATAATTTGTAAATAAAACAATATTAAAATTTCCAATATTGACACACCAATATTCTGACTGTAATGTCTCCATTTTTATTGTCCACTAGCTGCTGCCCGCGACTACGTCTGCGTAGAATAGGCTGAATGCATAAAATTTAGACAGAAAGACAGATATACATAAAATATGTATATAAATTATAGCCTATGTCTTATTCTGATGTATAAGCTATATTAATGTAAAATTTCATTAAAATCCATTCAACAGTATTTGCGTGAAAGAGTAACAAACATCCATCCATACATACAAACTTTCGCCTTTATAATATTAGTAAGATGTTTTCTTTTATTCATGCCGAATAACATTTCAGCAATACATTAATATTGCTACTTACTATTTTATGTGCTCGAAACGTTGGAAAACTAAAACAAATTAAACTTAAAAAAGTGCGTATAATTTAATTATTTTGTTCAAAACTTATAATTTTCTCCCTTTCATTTTGATTTAAATTTTTTTCTTTAATAATGAGACACAGTGTTATTAAGGATTGGACACTTTTACGTACTCATTTATATTTTATGTACCTAGTAGTAATTTATTATATATACAGGTGCGCATTCAAACTATGCCTGGATTCGCGAACACGATGCGCGAAGCGTGGCCCAAGATGGTGAAAAACGAAGGCTACGGCACCTTCTACAAGGGTCTGGTACCACTGTGGGGTCGTCAGATCCCCTACACCATGATCAAGTTCGCCTGCTTCGAGAGAACACTCGAAATGTTCTATAAGGTTAGAGTATTTCAAAACTGTGTATGCATTACTTATTAGAAAATTAATATACGTCTGTATACAATAATTATGTTCTTACACTTACCTTGTTTTGTCTCTCAGGTACAACACTTACCGTGTGTTGTACCTCAGCCCATAAAAAAGTACTTTTAAAAAGTACCAATAAAAAGTAGGTACCTACTTTTAAAGAGTACCTTCCTATCCTAATTTTTTATCAATCTGAGTGTTTTATATGAAAAAAGATATAATCCTGAGAAACAATTTTGTTTTTTTACCGAATTTTAGCCACGTGTATTTAATTATATCTCTAGTTTTTAGTATATGCTTATGTAATACTTACGTTATAATCATTGGACGGTTATTATTATTGTATAGAACTACATATTTGCTTGTTATTATTATATTTAAATAGTACACGTAAATACAGACATTATCTCTATAGTACGTAGTGCCAAAACCGCGTGACCAGTGCTCGAAGGGCGAGCAGCTGGTGGTGACGTTCGCTGCCGGTTGCGTCGCTGGCATATTCTGCGCCATCGTCTCCCACCCCGCCGATACTGTTGTCTCCAAACTTAACCAGGTATCAATAATTTATTTATTTATCTTTAACACAAATCTTGTTTATCTATAAGAGGATTTAATGCCTGCGGAATTCTGTCAACCTAATACGGCAAAAAAACAAATTTAAAACAAAATGGATACGTACAATGATATATACTATAATGATATTATAATAAATACTATTATTACACAACATATAATATATATAATAAATTGATCATTATGTAAAAACCGCGTAACGTGTAAACGTAAATGGCGTCGGTCTTTTATGAGACCGTGATATTTCCCCGGACAAGCTAGCTAATTCGTGCATCATAAGCTGTTTCGCGGCCCTATCCCGATTAACGACCCAGTTGGCATGATGGATAGTCCCCCTGGTAGACCTCTCTCTTGCGCCAGAGGGTGTGGGTTCGATCCACACTACTGGTAAAATATTGTTATGAACATAATGTCTTTCTAGTGTCTGGGTGTTTATATATCTACAACATGTATTTATTTACAAAATTACCTGGTACCCACAGTACAATCTTTAGCTAGCTTAGTTTGGGAATAGGTAAAGTTGTGTAAAAATACGTCCTGAAATATTTAATTTAATGTCACAGTAGAATATATTTTTTGTGTCCAAATCTTATCGGGTCCCGAACACAGCTACAGCAAAAAAGTAACGCTTTTCTTGTAATAAATTTTAGGACAAATCAGCAACAGTTGGTTCGATTGTGAGCAAGCTGGGTTGGGCGGGCGTTTGGAAGGGGCTTGGTACTAGGATCGTTATGATCGGCACCCTCACGGCACTGCAATGGTTCATCTTCGACGGAGCCAAGGTACGTATTACGTCTTATAATGATAATTAAGACATGTCTGATTATCCTTAAACTCATAATTTCATTGATTTCAAATTCATCCGTCCGAAAATTTATTACTGGCCTTAGTTTTAACAATATCTTAAAAACTATAAATATTATCAGAGCCTTCATCAGAGAATTCAATGTACTCGAGCAAACCGAGTTCAAACCCCGGTGGCGACACTAATGAAATTGTTAACAACAATTTTAAGTGCTGACTTATTTCACTCGTGAAGGAGAACATCGTAAGGAAGCCTGCATATTATCGAAATAATAGTAAAATTAATGTTTTGAAGATATGTGAAGTCTGCCAATGCGAAGTGGGATCGTGTGGTGGACTATGATAATATCCTCTGTACCGAAGAGGCCTTTGCCCAGCAGTGGGACATATATCGGCTGTAACATTACTTTACTTGCTTTAATATTATTACGGTATATTGGATTCTAAACATTGGGTCTTTTTAAACAATAAAATTCCCTATCTTTATTCCAGGTGGTCTTGAGAACACCACGCCCACCGCCTGCCGAAATGCCAGAGTCGATGAAGAAACGACTCGAGGCTGAGAAAGCAGCAAAAGATGAATAACCTCCCCCTTACTTTCCTAATTTAGTGTCGAATGATACCACTACAGAGTGCGATATTTAATTTGTTCAAATGAAAGCATCAACTTTCCAAGCAAATGAGTAATTTACAAGCTTAGTTATTTGCCATTCTAATAACCCCGGAATGCTCCTCTGTAGACCGCTATCATAAATACAATTGTGTAGTTGTCCTAGGCGAATTGTGTTTAATTTATTTGATATTTATAAAATAAAAATACTTTTTTATTAACCGGTTTTTTTTACTTAAAACTACAGCATCCACTGGCATATATTTTTCGTGTTGAATAAAATATACTTATCGATTCCGTGGAACTTGGAAGGGCAAAGCATTGGTAACATACCCTCGTACTGACATCTGATTGCCACATCTACGAAATCCTCAACGTCTTTTAACTACATTGTTTTTTAGCATTTGAAGAAATGCTTGGTTCAAATGCTAAAATTAATTGCTTCAATACGTTACGAGTACAAAAGTTACGTTTGATATTTCGGTTATCTACTACTGCGTTTCTGAATATGCAAAAGAATGGATAAGTAGTTCCTAGTCTATGGAAAACGTAGTTTAAAATTTTTATTGAAGATGATTCTTATTGAAGTAGCCAACGAATTTATATAGTTAACCAACAATAAAAAAAACGGATAGACTCTGTGGAGTTAGAGGCGAAGAAACATTTTTGAATGCATCAAGAAGAAATATGATGTTTTTTCCATTGACCGATTTTAATGCTTAGTTCTCACTGGGAATTTATTTTAACTACCTTTTATACTATTCATAGGGATAAGAAATAAAATACTATGCAGTAGAAAAAAATATTAAGTTTACAATGAAAAAAACAATTACACTTCGAATAAATTCAATTTAATTTTGTCTCTTACAGGTCGTTTTTATTTCAGGATTCTTTTTATGAGTGAAATGGAGACCAATTATTATGTTTTTGTCAGTTCTGTTAAATTGATGTTCAAATACTGAGCAAAATCATTGGAATTTTAAAAGTTTTCAAGATGCGCCATTTTAAAATCTCCGGTCAGATTAATTTCATTGATTACATGAGATTATATTTCAAACTTTAGATCGAACATCATTAGTTAGAAACCTTAATGAAGACAAAAAGTTAATAAATAATTAGATTAGCACTTGCTACATTTAAGACGTAACTTTATTTATGAGTATGTAACGTTTTTATGAGTTGCTTTTCATATTTTATATCAAATACTAATTACAACATAAAAAAAATAAATATTACAAGAAAAAAAGGAAATCCTAACTATGGCGTAAAGATACCCACATCGAACCCACGTCTTCGGCATTGGCGGCCTAACGCTCTAGCCACTGCACTCTCTAACTTCTTAGCATTTCAAGCATTGCTTCTAGAAACAATGTAGATGAAAGGGGTTAAGATTTTTGTCGGTGTGGCAATCAGCCGTTTAGCTCAGTGGCTCTTGCGTCAGGCCGCGAATGCCGAAGACGTGGGTTTGATTCCCACAGCAGCGACAATATTTTCGTACTTTTTCTACAAATTTTAATGTTCAATCTTAAGTGCAGAGATTAGCACTATAATAAATTTAAAAATTTCCGAAAATTTTACTTATATATCGATTTTTTTTTTCGATATATCGAGGTTACCCATATTGGTATTTTTATAAAAATCGATATATTTCTCGACTTTCGGCATCCCTAACAAGTTTAAGATATCCTTAACATGTTTATACTTTTGTTTTGTCTGTACTTTCACGCCGAAACTTAACTTATCAACGGCAATAAGAAATATCACATCCATAACAGCAATAATATTAAAGTGAAACTGAATACATTTAACAATTTAGGTACATCAAAATATTGGACAGAAAATTCTGTTAGATTATAAAAATTCCTAGAAAAAAAAGATTTGATTACATTATAATCAATCGTTTTTTAGAACTTGGTAATAGGATTTTTCAATGTTAAATGAAACTGTGCACTAAAAGATTGAAAACCAAAATTCCAAGTCTTAATGACTGATCAACACTGCCTCAGGACATTTAATTTCTACAAATGTTTCTCATTGTCCCATACAAGAAACCAGAGACAAAATTTAAAAAATAAATTATATTTTATATAAGTAGTATTACAGGAAATACAGGAACTGTCAAAATATCCATTTGTTAGCTAGTATATTCATCATTAGTAGGCAACAATTTTGGCTTGGCATAACTTAGTGTTTGTATTCAAATACAGGCTTGTGAATGGCATTGATTTGAACACACCCAACACAATAAGTATAATAAGAAATGTCATGTTACATTAAAATAAAAGAAAAAAAATTCAAAGCTGTTATTTAATGACCTTAAATCTCATCTGCTACAACTGTAGTCTTCTCAGACACATATAAACCATCCAAGAACTTTCTGATATCCTTGTTTTTGACCATTGTGGACTGTTGGATAAGGGCTGCTGAAGCAGAAACATCTTCAATCGAGTTTCCTTCAATGATTAATTCATCCTTCTGTTTGGGTGAGTTGACAACTGTTACACCAGGTGCCATTTTCACCCTTCTGATGAACTTCTCGCCAAGGAAGTTACGGATTTCAATCAATGAGTTGCCTTCGGTGGTTACACAGTTGATGGGGAAGTGAGCGTACACAGCACGCATTTTATACTGGAATCCCTTTGTTACACCTGAAATTTCACAATAAAATAATTTTAATTACTTATTGGATGACTATAAGAGTACCATAAAACATTTTGTTTAAAATTTTATTGTTATGCTGCCGAATCTAAATAGACATTATATAACAATTTCTCTTATCACAATTAGTATCTCATGAATATTAAGTTTTTATATATTTAAATAATTCTGGATTTATTTTATTCCTATTTATTTAATCTTTAAAATTATAAAGGGTTGACTTAATGCCCAACGGCATTCCCTACCAGTCAACCCAAGATGTGGTGAGAGTTTATGGTAGGTGGTCAATATACATATATGACATATACAAATATGTATAATTAATATCCAATTATAATATATGGATCTGGAAATCATGGCATATTTGGGAACTTCATATAAATGAAAGAGAAATGACACATTGTTCATACCTAACCAGTTAACAAGTCTATACCTTTAAGCAAGCAAATTGTGATTGCTAGAAGAGAGTGATTGCAGAAAAAAATAGCTTATTAAATTATTATGCATGCGAGGCAAAAGTGTTGAATTTAATGAAAAAAAAATTAAGTCTTATGTTACAAACCTCCTTAACTATGATTAAGGCCTTTCAGAATATGTTTTGTTAGGATGTAAAATAGATTGGGACAGGATTGCCTAGCTTGAAAGCCGGATTGTTCAACTGGCATAAGACCATTTGAAAATACATTCTTTTTGAGCCTATTTAATATGAACTGGTTGTAGGGCTTCTCCAAGCAATTGAGGAGACTGATGGGTCGGTAGCGGAAGGGCTTATTCAGTTTGAATGTTAAAAATGGTCACAGGAAGGTCGCATGGAAGTAAGCAGATAAACGACTATCACATGTGTATATATTTTGATATATTAATAATAAAATATGTATTCGCATTAAGACCGTTTAAGATTCCTTTATATTGCATAGGAACTATAACTTAAAAAGTAATTGTAAATTGATTTGCGTGTTAAAAATGGTCGTATGGAAGTAAACAGATAAACGACTATCACATGTCTATATATTTTAGTTAATTAATGATAAAATATGTATTCGCATTAAAACAGTTTAAGATTCCGTTATTTTGCATAGGAACTATATCTTAATAGGTAATATAAATTGGTAATCTCACATATTGAACGAACTTCGAAATAATGGGGGCAATAAGTATAAAAAAATTGTACTACAGTAGTATAAACGGAAATAATTCACAAGTCAATAAAAAAATTCATACAAAAACCATAACAATCGTTACCTTTGATCATGTTTTCTACGTGAGAACAAACTGTTCGCACGGCAGCAAGCTCCTTTTTTGATCCAAACCATTTCTCGACTTTCAGTAACCGAGGGTTCACCATGCGAATGTCAACAGCCAAGTGTTTGAAATTTCGTTTAAGGGTACCCCGCGGGCCTTTCACTGTCACCAGTCGAGACTTCACGTGAACTGTGAGACCCTCAGGGATCTTCACCTTTTGATTAGCAACTATTTGCTTCATTTTAAGGCCTAAAATAAAAGATATTCGTGAACTTAACCTCCTTTATAATTTGACAATTTGTTTGTATATGTTTTAAATGTTGCGGTCGTAAAATAATAATTGCAACGTATAAAACATTATATTATACACCGCTAGTAAAAATAATTCACTCGAATTATAGACAATTGAACAGATTAATTCAGATTTTAAACAAAAACAAGATTACTGCTTACTTTCAGTGATACACAGAGCCGGAAAAGAGCGTAAAGGTTGCCAGAAAAAATATTGTTACAGACGTTGCAACTATGTTCAGAAAAATATTATTTACTTACATAGCTAAGTTGTCTTAACATACATGTATGATAGCAATAAACACTGTAATTTATTTATAAAAAAAAATATTACAGGTACTATTTGAAACGAGATAAAAACCATGTATATAATGTTATTACTTTAACATAAATATGTACCTTTTAAATATGAATGAATGAATATACTTTATTGCACACCAAAAATAAAACAAAGAAAAATTAAAACTTAATGTAGAAGTGATGGGTACAAGGGGCGGCCTTATTACTAAGAGTAATTTCTTCCAGGCAACCTTTGGATGGATTAAAAAGAAATAATTTAGGAATAAAGGTGTGGGTTAACGAAATGAATGAAAAAGAAAAATAGTTATCTACAATCATAATTCATAATAATAAGATATTTATAAATATGTAAGTAATGTATTAATAAATATTTCTTAATAATTTAAAAATCATGTTTCAAATTACTAAGAATTGATATTCTTTTTAAGTAGTGATAATAATAACTTTATTATATCTGCGTAGAACTCGGAACAGACAAACTGTAGAGTGCAATAGACTGTTCACACGATAAATATACAATTCATTGTAGAAATAATAAACTGTAACTAAACATTTTATTATTTCTCAAGGGTAGACCAGTTTTTTTTTACAATTTCCGTAACATCTTTCTTAATTTTAAATTAAGCCTAGGTAATACGGTGAATCTTTGAAATATTAAAGTATTTTATTAGTACGAACGCAAGTTGCCTAGGTACTAAAGAAAAAATTCTAATAGATTGCTAGTAGTATATAGTATTTCATATATCAATTTTTGGTGTGGCTCCCACTGGCGGCATTGTTAGTTTTACTAACTCTGTTTTTTATATTTTAATGTTATCTTTGATATTACGACTGAAACACTAAGTATCTATGGTCATAAAATACATAAAAAAAATAAGATTTGTGTGAATTGTGCTTTACCACTGAGGTATCGATACTTTTGCTCGATACGGTATCGGTCGTGAAATATCGAAATTTACATAGATCGATTCATTTTAAGTATTGACTTTCATTGTGGTAGGGCCACGTAACAGCCTTTACTGTTGCATGAATGGAGAGGGCCATCCGGGGACGTGAATTAGAAGTGTTACACCTACTTTATCAATATGTGGCAATGCATCTGGGTTGTAGATGCGTTGCGGGTGTTACAACCATGGGCGGTGGTTATCACTAAGTATCAGGTGAACCACCAACTCGCTTGCCACCTTCTCAGATAATAAATGCTTATTGATATGAAACCGTAAATCGTAGAAAAAAAGAGAAAAGTAAATTTTTGTATCGATTTTCAAGAACGGTCATTTCTAAATGTTCGACTTTTACACGATTCTTTTTAAGACTTAAGAATATTTGCGTTCTTGTTGCGAGAAATAGGTGTTAAAACCTTTTATTTCTCTAACAGACTCAGAACGTTAAAGTCAAACATCTTCAATATTATGATATTAAATTACATTACTTTTTTGTCCTCTCGTTACTACATATAATTTTTAATTAATCAAAATGACGAGTACGGAATTTTCATGATTTTATGTAAATAAAACATATATTAATACATGAAACATAAATTTTGTAACCCTTTTTACTAAAATTGCGCGGATGGAGTATTAGGAAATTTCCCACACTTATAGTTTATACGAAGGAGTGTAGAATGCTAATATTTTTTTTTACTATGCCGTATAAAATACATTAAATCAATTAAAAACAACATTACACACACTACCGTGTATAATTATTAATGGTCGAATTTCTGTCAGACTGTCACTAGTATTAATAAATATCGATACCGCCGGCAATCTGGAATATCGAACACGGTGACTCTGTAAGTAACACTAAAACTCAATGGCAACACTGATGCCAATGTTTATGTAAATGATAATGTATTTACAGATTAATTTAAATGGAAAGCACTTGTAATATTGCAATAATTTGTTAGTATTATTATTGAATTATTTAACTGTACTAGTGTGATTAGATAATTGGGTTAAAATAAAAAAGTTTAAACATGGTAATTGTATAGATACAAATGGGTCATGTCCATTAGTATGTGTTATTGTTTACTGTTTCTAATAACGTGAAAGAAAAGATCAACGAAATGGATATACCGGTTCAAATAGCGATTCGTCTGAAACCACCAAGTCTTGCAGATTCTCTACAATGTATATTTAGCAATCCAGTGACCCAAATAGTGATAACAGAAAGTGGACAGACGTTTCATGTCAACAGAGCATTACCAGTAGATTGCACCCAGGCACATCTTTTCAATTCGTTTATGATTCCTCAAATTAACTGCTTTTTGGATGGCTGTGATACGTCGGTAGTAGTTTTTGGACAAGCAAAGACTGGGAAAACGTATACACTATTTGGTCCAGGTAAGAATATTTTAGGTATCATTTAATACTTTGTGTAGCATCATTTGTGTTGTTGCAAATATTTTATTTGTATTTCAGGATTTGAATGCATACATAGTGAATGTGACCAAGGAATAGTCCCAAGATTCCTCACTGATATTTTTCATAAGCTGAGTCAAATGCCAGAAAGAGAGTTTATATTACACATAACATGGATGCAAGTTGTCAACAATAACATATTCGATGTTCTAGGCGCTGGCTTAGTAAGATGTTGCAATGTTGAAGAAGCTTTCCAATATTTGCAATTGGGCTGGCGACAAAGATGTCTAGGAAATAATCACACAGTGTTCACAGTAAGCATGGAACAAAAGTGGGTGGGCACAAATGGTGTTCTTAATCATAGAATGTCTACTGCTAGTTTCTGTGATCTAGCTGCCTATCCTGAGCCTAGTCTTTTTGCATTAGAGAATATTATCAAGGAATTGGTTGCAGGCAATCCACCAAAACAAATAAACTATGACCAGTGTATACTTACAGCAATGCTCAGAGATTCATTTGGTGGAAGAGCTTTTACTTGGGTAATTGGCTGTATAAGTACAGAGCCAGATGATTATCAAGACACATTGAAGATTTTAAATTTGTGCTTGTGCTGTAGGGGTATAAAAAATTTTGTTACTGTTAATTTATTTGCCGATAACAACACACCGGTTTATTCTGAAAAAAATGTTCTTCCAGCTGATAACAGCTTTAATTTACAATTTGCAACAGCACAATGGATAAAGTTAGTTTCAAATGCAGAGGGGCTTTTTAATAAAATATTGCAATCAAAGTCTATAACAGAAAGTGATATGAACCAAGTGAGTGAATGGTTATTTCTGAAGGCAGAATGTGATGAGTGCTTAAATGGAGATGTTGTTGGTGACAATAAAGATATAACTACTAAGCAAGGTTTGCCTCGAATAGCAGAAGACACAGAGCCAAGTGAACCCAGTGAATCTGATGTTGAATCAGATTCTGAGGATAGTGACTCAGAAACAGTTTTCCAGGATAAGGTTGAAAAGTATATGGAGTACTTTAGAGAAAAGAATGATCAACTATTTGCTGAAAGATGTGAAGAATATTTGAATCACATTGATTCTGATGATATAACTATATCAGAAACCAGTGGATCACAGTCTTTGCCAGTGATGACATCACAGTCAAATTCAGGAAGGAGAAGAACCATTCAGCCTGGTGAAAGCTTATCAGGAGCTGAATTAGAATTATTAAGGAAGGTGGCAGCTAAGGCAATCTCTCCTGAATCTCAGAAAATAATATTAGAATCTCATAAGAAAGATATTGATCCTGAGCCTAAGTTGATAGAAAGAGAACTTTTAAAAATGATTGACTCACCAAAGACTGCTGAGATATGTAAAAAGTATAAAATGACAAAAGAGAAATACAGTCAGAAACAAATGTTAGCTAGAAAACTTTCAAAAGAAATCAGTAGCAGCCAAACCCAGCTCAAAGAGTTGATTAATCTTTGTATAGCCAAGGAAAGGCTAATAGGTGATCTAACAAAAGGAATGAGTAGTAGCAAAGTTTATTGTGAGAAATTTGAATCAAAATTAGTTGACCATGACACTGCAAAAGAAATTAAGAGGCATGAAACAAATCTTAAAACATACAAGAAACAAATTGATCAAATAAAAAGACAGATAAAGAAAGATGAAAAACGAAGAAATACATTAGATGTTGAACTAGTTAAGGATAAGTTGAAATTAGATGAGCTTTCTGAGACTTCTGTCGATATCAAAGACAAAAAGGCAAATTCATTAAAGCATTTTACAAATAGAATTACACAATTAGATAGTATTTTGAAAGAAAAGACAAATGATCTGGCAAATTTGGAATTATCAAAAGACAAAGAGCTAATGTTGAGGAAGGAAATTAAAAACTTGCGAAAAACTAGAGAATGTTTGCATGAACAAAGGTGCAGTTTAGGACATAAAAGGAAAATATACAAATCACTATCAGATTCTGAGGTACTTATTATCATATTACATATAATTACAATTTTATTGTGGGTAATCAATTTTTTTGATTGATTTTTTCAATCAAATCAATTTTTGAAGAAATCAGGTTACATCTACATTATTATTTTGAATACCAAAGAAAGCAAATATAATTTATATTAATTTACAGGAAAGAAAAATATTTGAGTGTGAAGAAGCTATTGAAGCAATTGATACAGCAATAGAATATAAGAACAATTTAATATGCGGAAAATCACCATCAGCTTCCCTTACTGATTCTCAGGACAACAAAGATTCACGAACAAGAGGTGAACAGATGTTGATGGCAAGACTAGATAAGTTGTCACATGATGAAATGAAGACTTTATTGTACAGATACTTTGAGAAGGTAAAATGTAACTTGTAATTTACATTCATTTAATTCAACGGCTACGCTTTCACCTAGAGAGGACATATAACAGTTGATGAAGTATATAGCCTGTATTATCCCTGGCTAACATAGGTTATATTTCAAATAATAAGTTTTTAGTTGCACATCTACTTGAAAGGGGAATGGATACAAGATGGAGCCAGAAATATTCATCTTGGAGTTTAGAACCGGAGATACTAGTGTTACAGGAATTCCATTCCGGCTCTTGGCGTAAAAGTCGCGGCTGTTTGCTCGTCAACGTTAAAACCTGTTCAAAGTCAAAATATATTCAATACAGGCCCACTCTATGCTATTTTTGAACTTCAAAAAATTCCCACTGGTTCACTAAGCTGGACCTGTCCAAAGAAGAACTGGCATGAAACTCTGCGGTGTTCTTGGGTCAGGTTGTCGACTTGAGGAGTGCATGTGCGGCGCTCGAGGCCGGGGCTGCGGCGGCGGCGGAGGAGGCGGCCGCGTGGCGTTCCCGCGCCGCAGCAGCATGGCGCCACGCGCACCGTCCGCGACCCGCGCCCCACACAAGGTAGACCCCACGCGCACCGTCTCCATGACAACACAGAGTTCCAAGTTGAAATATTAGCGTAACAGGTTCTTGCACAGTCTTCATGACAACACAGAGTTCCGAGCTCAAATGTTTGCGTAACAGCTTCTTGCACTGTCTCCATGACAATACAGAGTCCCAAGTTCAAATGTTTGCATATCAGCTTCTGCACCGTCTCCATGAGAACAAGGTCTAAAGTTAGTCACATAGTAGAAAATTGTAAATGACACTGTTAGGCAATCAGTGTTGATTAATAAATTTTACGTATTTTTGTCTTAAGATTTTAAGCTTCATGGCTCTCCTATGATAAAATTCTCATTAATAATGTAATGGACAAGTACACTAATAAACATAAAGGGATGATTGATTTCAAGAATGTGAATGATATTATTATATTTTTTATATTACACAGATGTTTGGATGCTAATAATATAAATGAGAGGGCACTATCACTGGGTTTGACAACGGATTCTGAGACATCTGATGATGCTATGCGGCTGGTGGATAGAATGAGGCAACTAGCCAGGTATCCTCCGGTAAGTGGATATTGAATATTATTAATGAAAATCTATGGAAAAATCATGAAATTTATTGTTACTTGCTTTTTACTACAGGCCCCAGTGATACCAAGTCAAAATTTAAGGCAGCTGATGCCAGCTACCAACATGCCAGTGGCAAAGGTCACAAAGGAAAGAAACAAGCTAGTTATTATTCAGCAGAATAAGAAAATCTGATAAATGGAGCTATTAATTTTAATACTCGATATTTATTAATACTAATAGTATTTCATGTGTTATTAATATAGGACTTCCAAATTAATTGATGTAACTTTAAATGTTTTCTTCTATATAATGAAGGCTTTAGTGCTGTGAAATGTATCACTGCCATTTACTGTCTTTATAATGGATAATTTATATGTATTAATGTTCACATTTGCGTTATGTTAAATTAATTGCAATTAATAGTATAATACCGTTTCGTTAGACGCCTTTTCTTGTGATGCTGACCAGAATATATACCATTGTTTTTCTTTAACCATGGACATATTCTCGACGGTGATGAAAAACAATAGTAACATCAACTGAATAATTTCAATAGTAAGCCTAATGAGCCTATTGAAGAAATACAAACTAGCTGCTGCCCGCGACTACGTCTGCGAAGAATATGATGTGTAATCTATTATATTATTGTAAACTTGTAAACTTTCATTAAAATCCATTCTGTCGTATTTGCGTGAAAGAGTTACAAATATCCATTCATATATACAAACTTTCGCCTTTATAATATTAGTAAGGATTTAACAACCATCTATATCACATTAATTTCGAAATAAAAAACACATGAAAATTATTTTCTCAAAAAAAAATGTTGTTGGTGCTTTTGATATTTATTGAAGGAGTTTGCTACCTTGAATACATAAAAGAAATCTATATTGATGAAATAAGTCCCACATCTTTGTAAAAAAAAAAAAACAAATAAGTCTGAAATTTTGTGATCAAAATATATAGTGCTTTGTAGGGATGCCGAAAAAAAAATCGAAAATTTTGAATATCGATATAAAATATCGAAATCGTATAAAAAATGATATTTCAAATTCGAATCCGGGACAGAATCCGTAAATTCAAATAATACTTGGTATACATTTTTTTTGGTTATTGGGGCCTAAACAGAAAATATCGATATTTTCTCTTCGATATATCGAGTCCGATATTGATATTTTTATAAATATCGAGATCTTAACTTTCGGTATCCCTAGTGGCGCTTTTCTTTAGACATGTCACTCACATGTGCTACATTAGCTTGTTGAGAATATTATAGTATGTGGCATTAATAAAGAATTCATAGAATAATTGTATAAAATAGATACTCTGTAGTGTATTTTTTGTAAAGTGTACATTTATTAATTGATATTTGCTAATGTTCTCATGTTCATGTGGATATAGCGTTATTCGATGTATATAATATATATATATATATATATATATATATATATATATATATATATATATATATATAATATATATATATATATATATATCTATATATATATATTATAATATAATATATAATAATTATTAATATATATATATATATATATATATTATATAATATTCAAAGAATAGTCAGCGACGTTTAAACATTATATAAATTGACCATTTGCTTTGCACCCTATTGCTGTGTGAAACTTTAAGCATTAAATTATTATAAAATATATTTTGGGTGACTTTAGGGATATATATTATTTATATTAACATAATTGTATATTTTCACATCCCGGCATCAATCTTGACGACATAGCTTGCTTAAAAGAGCAGACTTATTTTTAAGTATCAGATAATTTCCATGTAAACTCAACACTTCTGAGATTAAAATAAAAACTAATGTGCTCAGTATCTCTCTTCTCTAAAAATTGATAATTTTTTATTTTTAATGAAGGTTAGAAAATTTATTTGATGTTCGAATTATTTGAAGTTATAATTATTTTTACTAGCAAAATTTTACGATACGCGCGCACGATAAGCATCATGATGAAGTTGATTGCAAAGCGAACAACTTCAAGATACTACCGTTGAAACCAATAATAACTTTTTGTCATTTACCAATAATTCCCAAGTTATTTAAACCGTTATCAATTCCATTTGAGGCTTTTTCCAAAAATAAAGATTTCTTGTTACGATTAAGAAGTATAACTTCTTACGTACGTACTACATAAGTACGCACGTTTTTTTATAAGTAGAAAAAATTGCAATTTTTTCTACTTATAAAAGGGAGTCGATCCCACGTATTCTGGATTATACGCGCCCAGCATCTTTAACTTCTAAGCCAAACGGTTGATTGCCACACCGACGAAAATCTCATTTACATTTTTCTTTCAAAATGGGACATTAATTAGAATACAACAAAAATTCAAAAATACATTTTTTTTACATGCTGACTACATGACACTATATTCCTAGAGTGTAATTAACTAAGCAATCTATGTAACGTCTTGTTTAATCAACATTTTTATATTTGCTCCTAACCATCACAAATATCACAGAGTTTAGATTGAGTCATATTAAACGGGGCTTAATTAAATTTCATAGTGGAGGAATGATAGGTACAAAATATAATATGGAGTTTAACTATTAAAACTACGTTATTGCTAGTGTCGAAAACGTACTGTCGGCGTCGCGATGATTTGTCAAGTCAATTACTTTGGTTAATTCACTTGAAGTCCCAAGGTATACATAAGACGCCCTCCGATAGAACGGAATAGTAATGCGTGACGTAAAGTATGTTTCCACGCAGTTTCTGTAAGAAAACAAAGCGAATAATTAGAGAGGTTTTGGCACTAATAAAATACAAAAGTTCAATGAAATTATAAACATAAAAAAAACCACAAAGTGCGCCCACACTCGTTAAATATACACATTTTAAGATACAGATGAAATTTTTTCCCGTGTTATCCCCTCACAACACCGATTCAAGTAGCCGCTAAAAGTGCTTTCAATGACTCGTGTATTCTGTTCCGTCACGTCACAAAGATCGTTCATGAACCTTCTTGCAACTCACAGGTAGTCAAGTGAAAATTTCCGTCACAGACTAGAAAAATTAAAGTGAAGCATAGTAAATAAGCCGGGTCATTAGTACCGACCGTCCGCTATTACGCGGGCCGACATAGGTACTGTGTACGTACATGGTGCAGAATTTGTGTTATGAAATGGTGTAGAAATAATACTAAATCCCAGAAAAGTGTCAAGGAATAATATAATAATTATCACTGGTAATACACTAATGGATATTACCAGTTGTAACCTGTTATTTTTTAGTCCATGCGTACATAATATAGATTCCAAAATTTATGAGAGACAAATAAGACGATAGTCACTGATGACGCTGATATTACTCCGGCTTATTTAAAGCAAAAGTTAAATATCAAATAAATGGTAACTGCGAGCGGTTACCAGATGGGAAGCGAGAACTTTGGTCGGTTAATAGTTTAAAGTGAGTAGAAACAACTAAATGAACTATCATGAAAACAGAATTAAGTAAGGGTTTCCATTATGAAAATAATACGGTGGCGCACCGTGTTCAGCTTGTCGATCCGAGTGAGCAACCTTTGGCAGCACATGATCATCAGCGCCGGCGTGATGCTGTCGTCTTTGTGAAGCTCCAGAAGCCCGTAGCGCTCCTTTACCTCAATGTATAAAGCTTTCTCCACGTGCTTGTTTCTGAAAAGTATATCTGTTTTAAACCGGCACCTATTCATCAGAATATTGAAAGTTTTATTTTCAAGTGACATGACGGGACGAGATATATAGTGGTAATAATGTGGTGGGTGTCGGCTGCATTGTATAATAATAAATAATAAAATATCTTTATTCACATAGACGCTTTAGCGTTCTTATGAAACGTCGAAATTTTACAAGGAAATTAATATGTTCGTAAGTTACCCGGTGGTAAAGCAGTTTCTGTTGGGAAGAAACCGGCAAGAAACTCAACAGTTGCCCTTTTTTAAAAGGTCAGTTTACAATATAATGTTACAGGTATAATAGTCTTGTATTAGCCTACGTGAGTATCAACAGTATTAACCCCACACATTGACTTCGTCAAGATATTCAGCAATAGTATAATATGCTTTAGCCATAAGTTTACTTTTAACTTTTCGTTTAAAATCATCAAGTGGCAGACTTAATATCGACTGTGGGATTTTATTATACCTACATGCGCACACTTTGCCCCATGAACGACCTGTTTACTTTTTGTAGACGAAACATTGGCGTAGTTAGTTTGTCCTTATTTCTAGTATTTAGTTTACGTCTGTCACTATTCTTTAGATTAATATTATGTTTAACATACAAAATATTACAATAAATATATTGAGACGCAACAGTAAGTATATTAATCTCTTTAAAAAGGTCTCTGAGTGTATTCCGGGCTCCGATGTTATAGATTGCTCGGACATCTCTTTTTTAAAGAATAAATATAGAATTTATATCAGATGCACTACCCCAAAACAAAATGCCGTACGACAAGATGCTGTGGAAATAACTGAAGTAAACAAGTCTGGCAGTGTCGATGTCTGATGATGTCTGAACCTAACCTTCCTAATTGCAAAAACAGCGGAGCTTAACCTATTCGCGAGAGATGGGGACTCCATTGGAGCTTTGAATCCACTGTAATTCCCAAGAATACAGCGGACTCAACAGGATTAAGGTTTACGCTATTTAATGTGAAGCTAAAACTTTGCCTTCTTACGCTGGGAAGGGTAAAAAGAAGGCATTTAGTTTTTTTTTTAGCATTTAACACCATATTAGTAACGGTAAACCAGTGGAGGATACGCGAAAGTGCACTATTCACGTCGTCATAATTCAACACGTTTCGGTCAACCTTAAAAATAAGCGATGTGTCGTCAGCAAACAGTACAACATCACATGTAGAGTTGAAAGTGTGTTGGCGGCCTTAAGCTGGTTCCACTTGGCCACCCTCCCTATCTGCTAATAAGGGGCCGAGTAGGTAGGCTCGCTGAATGTTCCAGCGTGCCTGACCAGGAGAGGAGAGTTGCTCCCCGAAATGGGGCGCTGAGGCTTCCAGCACTTGCAGGATCGGGGAAGTGTGCGAAAAAACTCCCCTGGCCCTACCGATATGCGCCTGGGTGGAACATCGTGGAGGTTTAAGTCGGTGCGAGTCCGTCCTTGCTCCGTGAGGGCACGATAACAAAAAATGTACTACATTGACAACTTTGTCACAATACACGCAAAAGTACAAATATTTCCACATCACTTCGGTCTTCTGTGAGGCCATGGGCTAGGTCTAGTATCATGTTACTTCCAAGGCATAGCCAGCCCATTCTCTTTCGTTGCCCTATTACTGTACTAGACTAGTACAGTAGGGCAACGAACATTTTTATAGGTACTGTTTTAGATTACATTGCGTTCCAAATTTGCAAAATACTTTCAAAGTCAAAGTATATTTATTCAATATAGGCCTAACTTAAGCTCTTATTGAATGTCAACAAAAAATCTACCACCGGTTCACTAAACTAGACCTGCACAGAGAAGAACCGGCAAGAAACTCTGCGGTCTTGTTCTTTTTGTTATATTTTTTTTGATGCAATCATACACACTTATTTAGGTATAAATAAGTGTGTATAATTGCATTACTTTAAATGTACCCTGATGAGGTCGAGGCTTGTAACTTTAAAAACAATTCAGAACTGGACGTCAATGGTATCTCGGTTGCGACTACGTTGGAAAAAATGGGTAGGTGCATGTTTTTTTAATTAGTATATATAAATATAATCATGTTATGATTATAAACAATAAATAAAATTATGTCCACCGATCGTGACTCACATGCTGTACTCTGTCAGCAGCAGGGTGGCTTCATCCAGGTGGTTCGCGATGAATGTTACTAGCTCGTCGGCAGGACACGAAGACGGAGTTATGAACTGGCCGGTCGGGGAGACCATTAAAGGTCCCGCTTCACTGCAATGGCATATACAAGAACACTCAAGGCCATCACGCCCAGGTGTAGGCAGAGGCTATGACCTCCCCTATTGAGGGTCCAACACGTTTTGCCTCTTCCACATTAAAAGACATGCATTATATGCACATCCATCGTAGCCAAATTAATATAACAAAAAAGAAAGTATTAACCATCAAATAAAGAAGTTTGAAATAACAATTTAAGGATGATGTTATCGGCATTTACTTAGTTTTTTATACGATCAAAAAGTATAATTAAATGTAAGCAGATTTTCAATAAATGACGCCGTCTTAACTATGTGGGTAATACTATAATGATTTCATACATACGGTTCAACAACTATTTCATATTTGCTAAGGGAATCTGGCACGGATGACGGGAACTTCTTCCCCTGTCCATAGAAGTCACCAATCGATGTTATCAACTGCCTCAAATGATTGCAGTATTGTATTGCTGATACTTTGGGCATGAACTTCCTGGAAACAAAGTTAGTAGAACTTAAATAATTATGTCATTTAAAACTAAAAGAACAATGCCCATTTTTGACCTGACAGTGTATAGAAGTGAAATAAATATTAAAATTTAGCTAATTTCATTTTATAGTAATTACACTAATCACAATGTTAAAAGAAGAGAAAAAAAAATATTTTTTGATATTTCTTTACGCTTATTTTACTTAAAAAACATATTACCATGTTTTGAACGCACCTTAACAATCCTTTGCATAGGACGTTCCATTTTTCACACTACCTACTTGACTGTATTCAACTTTTTCTGAGTTTTATACGTGATTTTACGCTTTAGAGAAGTGAGTAAGCACGTAATTAACCGTATTTGTATAAAAATTAAGATCAATCTTATTAGTAGTACAGATTTATTAAAAATAAAATAATAAATTATTAGTGCAGCATGTAATAAAGTTCGCACGGCTGACGTAAATGGATTTTTTTGATATTTGACAGTTCTACGAGTGACTCATACTCATTGGTATTCGCCAGTAATTGTGAGTATTTATGTTTATTATTTTTAATCTAAAAATGTCAATCATGTCCTAATCAAACTAACAAAGCTCCTATAAATTATACCTGTGACATAACACAAACAACTGTTCAAAAGATCTATATACCCAAAATATGTATTATAAACTCAATATATGTTTTTTATTTCAGATTACTGAGGAAGATTACATTTGTAAATCTTGTAATGAACTCTTTATGAGAAGAATAAACCAGGAATTAACAAGCTGTGATGTTGTTCAAGCTTCAGGATTATCTCAACCAGGTCGAAGAACACAGTTTTTGATAATCCTTCAGAAAGACAGATATATGCTATTATACAAACAAGTTCACAACATCACATATTCATGTTTCTACATTGTTAATCATTTGCCAGTATAAAACTTGATACTATTACTCTAGATTATTTCTCTTTTGTATTTGAGATGTAAATTATTATATCTGTTATTAATTGACTGATGCTGTAATATTTTTAACCACAAATAAATAAATAATTGATTTTAAAAAAAAATATATTTTTAAGATGAATAATAATTATTGCTTTATTACTTCTTTTGTAGATAGTTTGAATCTGATAGAAAATGCCATTCATGCCGGATGAGTTATAAGCCTAATATGTGCTGCCACACATATAAGGCATGTTGCTGAAGTTTGTGGTGTTTCTACTACTGAAGATAATTTATTTTTTATGTTTCTGAGATTAAGTTATTAGTGAACTTATACCATTTGCTTTAGGTACCAAATAAGGCAAGCCAAATCCTGTTATGGTGAACATATTCACTTTCATGGATCACATAGAATAGAAATATGTAAGGACACAGGAGTTTTCTAGGAATAATCTGAGAGGAAGTGGTGACATAACACTAATAAGAGGAAAAATTAAGTCTTGGCACATTTAAAGAAAACAATATTATGTCTACATTTTAATAGAAAATAATGTGTCTGGCAGAGCTAGTATAGTCGAATACTGTTGTAATTGTTTAGTTGGTTGGCGAACCATAGGATGTTGCACTCATGTTATGACTAGTGTGGTACTTCGGATGAACTATCAAGAAAATATCTCTGTTATAAGAAGAATTTATAATATCCAGAATTTCTGGATAACATAGTTATGACATTTAAGTGAAGATGATGATAATTAATAAACTGTAACATAGTGTTTTATTTTTTCCCCCCTTTTATTAATCAGGTATTATAATTATCGATTATTATGTATTGTAGTGCAAAACTGACTATATGATATTAATTTACTAAATTAAAGGTAGTCTTTCTGCTATACCTACACTTTCATTATCAGGTTTTTAAATGTATGGGAAGTGGGCATTGTTCTTTATTTATATTACTACATAGCGACAGTACCTGCGACAAATGTGAATATCACGTAAAATTGTCGATAGAGCCTTTTCGTAGTTTGGTATTTGTGATAACGCGCCATCTTGTTGACTTACTTTCTTAATTAACTGCAACACAAAATTAGATAATATATTATTCAGCAATCGTTTATTTGGCCGATCGTTGTGGTAATTAGGTAAGTTAAAGTATGTTAAGAAGTATATGAAAATACGACCATACCGACAACCATTCATTTCTGACGTCAATGATGTTGAGGAACACATCACCATCCAAGCTAACGCCTGTAAATTGACCCAATGCTATTGTCCTGCCTGCAAAAATTAATTACGAAAAAAATTTGTTTCATCTGGTGATTGAACTCTTTATTGACTTTTAAAATCACTAGGGCTCAATGTTTTCTAAGATTTGGGCAAGCAATAGCTTGGGTATAGTAAAATAATTAAACGCAATAATACCTATTAATAAAACTTCACCGAAGTATATCCTCGCACTTTTCGCACTTTACGAGTCGAAACACAACGCTTGTAATTTTTTTTCTCCGGCAGATACGTGCAAATCTCCCACTCTCTTACACCGAGTTACGCACACAAAGCCGACACTAGACCTCACAATTATTTACGACGATTCCGTCTCAACTTTTTAATTGCTCTGTGCTAAATGGCGTAACTTAGCTATGACAATCAGAGTCAGAATCTCAAAACGACCGACATTTAGAATCAAAATTTGTAGAAAAACATCTTCGATTCCCACAGCAGGATGCGAATTTTCTTCTTTATTTCCACAAATTTAAATGTTTCATTTTAAATGTCTAATTGATTGTTTGATTAGCACTATAAAAATTTAAACGTTTAGCACATGCTACAATGTCTTAAATGGTTATCATATATTAGCATATGATTTCTTAGGTATTAACTCAAAAATCTTGAATTTTAAAGTGACATTTGTCCTATTTCAGTGTACAATTTATAGTTCGAAATAGTAAATCTCTTTTATTACATTTTCAGCTATCTTTTGAAAGAGTTTTTAGTAGGAATATGTATAAAAACCCAATGAAATCTTATTGTAAAAGTTGAATTGTCTATTACAGGAATCAGAATTCGGTAAGAAATTGTATCGTGTATTGAAAAGTGAATGTTACAGCTAATGTATGTTAATGAATTGCTATATTACATTATACAGGGAGATTTTTTGAGAAGTGCCCAAATTTACACAGGAGGTTCAGACTCGGTAGTATAATCGTTTATTGAAATACGAAACAAAGTTTCTTTTTCCAAAAAAATGACATTCTATTCCCTAAAAAAACAGAACGTGTTGACAACGCTTCATAAATACCTAAATTTTACTGTGCATGAACTTGTGTGCGTGTTAGTTATGAATGATCGCTCGTAAAATAAATGACTTCCCCATAAATCACGCACTTTTTGAGATAAGTTCAAATTAATGTAATTAATTAATTACGAGTGATTTTAAATATTTATCATTTTCTATATAACATTATTTATGTCTAGAATTTAATAAAAAAAACGGATACATTTAGAAAAGCCACACTGTATTTTATATTTATATGTATATTTAGTAACAGAATTACGATAACACAGAAGTAAAATAATCAACACATCAAGTTGAAGTAGCATTTCTGTTTTAAATCGTCTAGATAATATGCTACATGAGGCTGTCCAAGCTGCAGAGAGATATTCCAATAGTTTTTATTTTATGCATAGAGGAAATCAAATTTTATATAATGTACATGCACTGTTTGGATTAGTCCACTTTGTTTAAAGCTATGCCATAAGCTAAATGAAGAGAAAAAAATAATTATGACTGACTAAATGACAATTGAGTTTTAAAATTACAAACCTTTTAAGTTTATCATATCTTTCGAATGTTGTGAGGCTAAGGAGACAAGGCTTTGCAGTGCACCTCTGATGTGGCTTATGTTCCAACCACTGTCATATTTAACCTAAAAGAAGAAAAATATGTTGTATTTTTTAATACATGAGTATATTATATGTGATTTTAGTAAAAGTTGTTCATAAATTAGTATAAATTCATTCATGCAGAGTTCTTAAATATTTTCATCATATTAGCATATTAATATAAAATTGTTTAAAATATTAATTATAGCTTTACCAACTTCTTTTATACCATAACTTTTGCAAAGATCCTCTGTGAGGGAGTGGACATGGTCTCTTGTTGCTTTTGTGGATTCATATTTTTCCTTTGCTAATTCACTATTTTCATGTATCCAATTCCTAAGACATAAAAAAAGGGTAATGTAATTTTATTGTTTATTTAATAACAAATAAATAGATAATGACATACACTATGTTATTGATGGCCTTTTTTTCTTCAACTTTTCTTTTCATGTGAGAGACCTTTTCAAATTCATCATTATATTCCTGGTACGCCTTTGCAAAATCCTGTTTGCTGCAATAGTGGGCATTTTCAATTATTAAAATAGTATAAAAAAAATATTCAACTTCAATACTTTAATGATTTGGTTTACCTAAATTCGGTTTTAATTGTGTTTGTTGGTATTTTATCCACATAACCGGTTGATATATCACAGGCACTTAAAACTTTTACTACAGTTTCTCTAACATTATTACCATTTAGCTTAATTTTTACTAATTTGAAATGACCTGAAATAAATGTGCAAATATTGTTTATCAAACATATTTTTATTAATCATATATGCATCGACAATCTAGTCTTGATGTTTATCTATACCAGTGATTCTCAACCTTTTTTTTGTTGCGGCACATATTTAACGATTTCAAAATTTGGCGGCACATGAAGAAAAAGATATAAATTATTTACTAACTACAACACACTGCATAAATAGTTTATGACAATTTTTTGAAATATACGAAATAAACTAATATATACTACGAATAATATATACGTGAAGAAATACAGACACAGTGCGTGTGCAGCAAGTCAGCACATAAGCTCGGGATTCCCCGTGAGATGTGTACACAGCACACGTTGAACACGTCACAGTAGCATTTAGTAGAGTGCGGAAAAACAAAAAAAAAAAACTTATTTGGAAAACCGTGTAAAAGCGAAAACGTTTAAAACAAGTACTGTGTAAATCGGGGGATAGGTGTACTGCAAAGTTAATAAGTTTAGTGTGCGCCGACTTGAGACATATTCCTATTGCTATGCACGCCACTTCATCATAATTTGGCAGTAAGAAAAAACGCGTTGCAAAGCAAATAATAAAATTTATTTTTTTGTGGATTTAAATATATATTCATGTTAAAAATATTTTTTTTTTATATGATATAATTTAATAATATTAACATTATTATATATTTGCAAAATTTGACAGCACACAAAAGTGCCGCGGCACAGTGGTTGCGAATCACTGATCTATACAGTTAAATAAAATTGGAGTGTCTGTTTGTAATATTAAAATAACCGTTTTTTACTAAATGCATATGGATGTATACACGGTGCATATACCAAAATAACATTTTTTATAACATTTTTAAATAATTAACTGTTTTTTCCGGCTAATCTCTGAAATGGCTGGACCAATTAGGACGGGACTTTCACTCATAGATAGCTGATATAATAAGGAGTAACTTAGGCTACTTTATTGTAGAATTTTTTTTTATTTTAAATTCCACACGGACGAAGTCGCGGGCACAGTTAGTGACCTATAAAAATAATCATACATTTTTTTATTACCTTCAGGCATATCCTTTTTTCTTAGATAAAATGAGAGGGCAGGTATTGACATTGTTCGACTAGACTGTTGAGCCTCTATTAGAGCACTTAATTGTTGTAACGAATTTTCATTTGTTTTCTGCAATACGTTTAATCCATTAAAAACATCTTCTAAAATTACTATGTTTGCTCAGAAAAAATTCATTAACATTCATTTTGTTCCGGGATAGTAAGTATTTCCTGATAATTATACTAGTTACTTGGCAACGTTTTCGTATTTATATGAACTTATACATACTCTTTGTTCTGGATACTTTCCAAAGAGATCTGGATGGACACTGAAATAAAATGGTCTTAAGGCGGTGGAGATTTCAGCTGAACTTAAATGTCTACACAGTACGACTCCCAAACGGCCTGTTCTGAAATAAAATAAAAGTTAGTAAATATCTAAACAATAAAACAAAATTTAACTATTTATGCATATCCATGTACCGAATTTTAGTAGCAGAATACATGTTTGTAATAAAAAAATTGAAGCCTATGAGATGGCTGTCAGTATATTATATTATTTGATTTGCGCAACCACATATTAATTGAAACATTTTTAGGTTTTTGACATAGAATATGTTGATTTTTGAGCATCGTTGACATTTACTCTTTACAGATGACATTGACGCTGGACGCACAGTTTTTTCTTAAATTTTATTTATAAGGCAAAGGGTATTAGAACATAGAAAAGAATATAAAGAAGCAAAATTTTTTATTAAAAAATGGAAATATTTATTTTCCTAGGAACATGTTAAAATTGTCCCTAATCATTAAATAATATCAATATTTATCTAGTTGACTGTGTTGGTTTGAGCTAAAAAAATGCAATAATATTCCCAGCAAACTAACATAAATAGCTATTAGCCATCCAATCGCTATCTAATGAGTTAGCAATAGCTTTTCGCTGCTAATTCAGTTAGATCTACTACAACTAAAATAAATTTTAGTAAATTACTTTTCTGTAAGATTAATAAGTTATGAATATACATATGTTTTAATGTAGTATAATTTCTAAAAATCTTAAAACTCTAATTAATTCTTATGAAATACATTAATTAATAATAATATTATTTAACTTAGAATTTTATTATAGGTTATTATGTTTTTCTATTTAATTTTAAAGTATCTTGCCATTTGTTCATATAAAGTTCATAAAGAGGCTATTCCATTGTAATGTAACCAATTAAAGTAAAAGAGTAACTTGAATATAGCAGAATTTATTCTTTCTCAAGTCTAATGGAATGGGAAAAGATAAATCACCTGCAATATGACTGAGATGACTGTCGCGGAAACGAACGGTATCAGGAAGATAACGTAAGGTGTTATATGTTGGAGGTTAATGTTTTCAATGAATAGCAGGTGAGTATTGGATGAAGTAGCTTAGATTAAATCTGAAGGCTGCACGTGCGAAGCGGGCGCTCGCATGTGACGCAACGCTCGCGCGCAGACGCGGTAGCGCCGTTCGCCCTCGCCAGCGCCTGCGACCCACCGAGCTGCCTCATAATTGTTACACGACGAGTTCAATAATTAAGCGATAAATATATCAGCCGTGCTGCGGCGAGAGGAGGGCGGCAGTCGAGTAGCGACCGCGTCGCGTACCAGACACCCGCGGCGAGTGATGGACCCGAAGCTTACTCGACATTTTTCTATCGGACGCCGAAGGAATCTCACCGGACTGGTTCCCGCGCAACGCTGCGTTAGTGCGCCGCTCTGGTGAACCCTTTCGCTTGTAAATGTGCCGATATTTACATATGCGCGCTCGATCTTGCGTCGAACTTTCGATCTGTGCCCGCGCCTCGACTGGTGTGCCGAACGAGCCGGCCGCCGCGCCTGCGCCGGCGCCGCCGCCCCAGCTCGCTCACCTCCCGCACCACGTGCGATGATCCACGTACGTTATATTTCCTTTGTATACTCTCAATTCGTTATATGAGCCATGTTCAGGTTTTAATATTAAATATGACAAAAGAGAATTTTGATGGAAAGCATGTCTTAAAAGTTATAAGAGGAAATATAGCGCATAAAATAGTATTACATACTGTCTAAGTTAAAGTATTTGTCATTTTTTATAATTATATAAGTATATTACGTAAGTATTATAAGTGCTCTCCGTAAAATAATCGCATTAGGTATGTAAGTTTATGACATTTGGAAGTTCTAAATTGTATGAATTAATGACAATTTAACAATCAATTTTACCACAACCACCTAATCTTGTAGATAATACACGAAAACGATCTACTTCCACCTACCTCTTAAGTAAAGAAAAAGCAGGCCTTGTTATTCAACATAACTGCGGCCTTTCTAGTTGGAGTTCGATTCCAGTGACGCGATTGGTCCTTTCTAAGTGACATTAATTATAAATGCTAAATTAATAGTTTCACCTATTGTGTAATTGCTCTATTTTCACTTCATATGGTTTTTATTAAGTCTGTTCAGAACGTGTTTTTATCTCTTGGGAAACAAAACATTAAACAAATAAGGTATCGTTGATTGTGATACACGTTTATTCCTTAAATTATACTGTTTTATTGTTTTGTTCGAAAGTTAAGCGCGTTTGATTAGACGGTTAAGATTTTTGTACCAAAAAACAAATTTAGAAGCAAATATACACTTTAAAACTTTTATAAATTATGAAGTGCTTATTAAATAATATATAACTTAATTGATATGATGAATAAACAACAAGAACTCATTGTTGTACTAGCGTAGTAAGTATAATACTTTTCCATAATAATATAAAACACTATGGAATTATTAGAACTACACATTCAGCCTACATCATAAATCAACATTACGATTTAAATGAAAACAGTGTTTAAAAGGAAAAATCTTATGGGACAGTAATAAGATTCTACTATTACTTCTAATGATTATGAATTCATATATTAATTTCAAATTCAAGATCAATTAGTATTGTATTTATATAATGCAGACTAAAAGGCTCTTAGCGTTAGTTGTGTTAGATTGTACTTAGTAGGTATGTATGCTTTCAGTTAACTGAATTATTTAGAGTTTTAGAAAGAATGATGAATGACTATTTGATGTAGTAAGGTCATATTGTAAGGTTTTTGTCAATAAATCGAAAAAAGTACAGCGTAATGATGAAATTAATGTCGCGATGGCGGCATGCTACGAAAGTTTCAGAGATTTTGGAACGGACGGAAACTTGGATCAATTAAAGTCAAAAGTGTAAAACCTCATTCGGTACAAAGCTACACATCTTTAACACAGTTTTTATTTTTCACCGTTGGGAGAGGGAGATTATGTTCCTTATGTTATTTTATTGATTTTTACGCTGTCAGTATTAAAGCTTACAAAAGTACAGAGCGCATGGATAACCTTTCAATATTTCCACGTGCTCCACGAGCTTGGTTTTCTTATTTTACTTGTACGTATAAATTGGTAATTCTAACAAGAAAATAATGACAAACTTAAGCAGTTAAAGTAAAGCAATAATTATTGAAAGATGTTGTTGTAAGACATAAAAATAACACTAGGTACTTGATTATAAAATGAAAATTCTTTTGTATCGGTTAAGCGTCCGTATCAATCTTATTAGTATTGGAACTTGGATTTCTGAGATAGGTACTCGGACATTACGGAATTCCCCGAAATAAAATACAAAATGTATACATCTGTGAGTTATTATTTGAAGTCGTTTTTTTTGGTATACCTACGTGATGTATTGGTTAATTAGAAAAATTAATAAGAGTGATTTCTGTTACGAGTTAGTTTTGGTTATCTGCATTCCTAACTGTATTTAGTTTTATTTCAATAAGTCATTTAATTATTCACCTCCTCATAGAAATCCCAGTTGAATACATAAATAATTTTCTATTTTTAATATTGTTAGCTTTTTCGCTCATTCATTTTAGAAGTTTCTTGGGTAACGAATGAATAAAAAATTATGTACGCACGTAATAAGTAATGCACGTAATAAGTAATACTCTTCAGCATAACAAAAGAAAAATAACTTAAAATTACTTAATATCTCTTAAAAACTTAAATACTCTTTGTTTGTGAAAAAGACATTAAATGGAACTGATAACGGTTTAGTTAAGTAACTTGAAATTATAGGTAAATATCAAAAATTTGTTATTGTTTGCCATAGTAATACCGTGAAGTTGGTCGCTTTGCAATCAACTTCATCATGTCGCTTTTTGGCTGTCAGTGTAAGCGCGCATCGTAAAGTTAGTATTTTTTTCCAAACGTGCCAAAAGATGTGTTATAAAAGACTAAAACTCTCCGTTAAAAATAAAGACTTAACAGGAAACGACACAACAAGTATAACACATCTTTTGGCGCGTCTCAAGTTAGTCTTTTGAAGTTATACTTCTTTTGAAGTACAACTTCAAAATCTGGAAAGTAAAGAAAACTAAATCAGATACAGCTCCTGTTAAACTTAAGTCAACATATAACACGATTACTTTAGAAAACGGCTACAATACAAATTTGCCCAGACAGTTGGATATCAAAATGCACATCTGTGATGTATACGAAACTCGAATCACGATCGTTTAGACAAAATAAGCCATTAACAGGTATTCGTCGAACACGTACGCATCACGGCGTTCAAATTCTTGTAGTCATATGGAAGTATTCAAAAAAAATATATGCTTCTGACCTCGCGTCTGGGAATCTACACCAAAACTAGAGGTCAGGTCTTTTATGTCATCGATTCAAAAGATAATAAACGGGATTAGTTTCTCAGATGCTTTACATAATTCTTTTTAAATTAAAATGTTACAAATCAAATATAAGTAAATAAAAATGAAAATTAATTGCAAATAGCGTTATTTTTTTCCTTGATGCAGTTTATTAAATTTACTGTACTTCTTTGTTTTCTAGTAATTATTAACGCAACAATTTAGTTACATTATGAAAAAGTATACTTTTCAATAACTTTCCATCGCTCAATTTGTAGACGACGTAATGTAAAAGTTAAGTGTTAAAGTTGTTTAAAGGACTAGTCACAATTACTTATACTAATATTCGTCTCGATTGCATCTTCTGTAATTATGTTAAATTTCACCTCATTTAATATAACCTGGAGGGAAGACCTTTGCTCGGTTTGGTTTTTTTTTGGTAAATCATGTATTTTGGAATTTACATATAGATACAAATTACTGAGTAATGAAATATGCATAATATTTTTCGATCTTACCGACGTAATAATAAGAAAATATGAAATGGTGTTTTTCACAAAAGAAAGAACTTTCAAAAAAAAGGAAAAAAATAGGAAAAAAAATCGATTACGAAAAAAGGTAAAAAAATAAGTGTGTAAATGATTTTGACACGAACCACGGCCTTCTGTTTCGGGGCCGCCCGAATACCGACCGAGCTATTATAAAATTTTTTTTTTCGGTGAAATTTAGCGTCGTATTCGAAAGATATTTTTCATTCCCTGAAAACTGGGATAAAACGTCAATTTCTAAAAATTAAACCTAACCAGATCGATTTTTCGCCCCGAATCTATGCACATACAAAATTTCATGAAAATCGCTGGAGCCGTTTCCGAGATTTATTATATATATATGTATATATATATATATATATATAATATTTATATATATATATATATATATATATATATATATATATATATATATATATATAAGAATTGCTCGTTTAAACGTATTTGATTCAAATAAGTAGTTGATGAACTTGTAAATATCGCGAGCATAAATCAATCAAAAATATAAATCAAAATTACAACTCATTTATTAAATATTCTATTTTCACAAGCTATATTGTTTGGTTAAACTTACAGCTTGTTTATATTCTCACCAAATTTAAAAACCGATCGGTGTCATTGATTAACACACACAATAGGTACAACCTTCCTGTCGAATCGCTCTTTTCAATATGGAGTTGAGAGCACCCTCTCTACAAGCCGCCGCAAGCTACGGCAGGCGTTCCACAAGGCTCCTGCTTCTCGCTTTTGCTTTTTACGCTCTACACGAGCGACATACCAAGAGACCCGCACGTCAATCTTGCGCTTTTCGCGGATGACACTGCGCCCTTTTACACAGATAAAAATCTTAATCATCTCACTACTACTCGTCTCTGGACCGCCTTGACGATTGGTTCTGCAAATGGAGATTAGAAGTCAATCCCGAAAAGATTGTGGCGATTTACTTCACACGAAGTACTTACCCGTCACATCTTTATAAAGGCCCTCGCCAATGCAGAAAGATGGGGCAAATATCCCTTTATGGCCAACCGCTCCCGTGGGAGAAAAACGTCAAATATTTAGGAGTCACTTTCGACTCGCGTATGTCATTTACTACGCACATTAATAACGTTCGTAATAGAGCCGCGTACGTCTAAATAACGCTAAAAGTAAAATGCCCTAATGGCACAAATTATTATTATATAAGACCTGCGTACGGCGTATTATGTCCTACGCATGCATGACCTTCACTCACACACACCCTACTCGCTTTTACAAGTGGCAAATAGTACAAAATAAGTTCATCCGCCGCGCAACCGGTGCGCATCGATGTCAACGCAAAGTCGACCTGCACAGCGATTGCAGACTCCCGAAGTTTCGCGAATATTTTAAAGACCTGACCAAACGGTTCTTCGATAGAGCCGAACATCATCCCAACCCTCTGAGGTAAGCGCAGCAAGCGGAGGTAAGCGCAGCAAATTACTAACCCGATACAAACGCGAACGTCAACAAGCGTCGTCCGCGAAACGTCCTCATCGACCAGGTCGAGGGAGAGGCCTTAGATACGTCGGACCCACCGTCAGGGGTCCCGCCAGATAAAACTACCCTCACAGCTAGTGTAACAACAAACACAATATTTCGCCCTCGCCTCCGGGCACGGCGGGACCAACACAACGCGTACACAAGGTACTCCTGCGTTCTAGGGCGGTTCTCACCGCCCGTAACAATTAAATAATAATTTAATCAAATAACGATCCTAACTATGATTATGTAGCTATGTTAGGTATAAATAAACAAATAAATGAATCAAAGGCAAAGTAAAAGTCAAAGTATATTCATTCAATATAGGCCTAACTTAAGCTCTTATTGAACGTCAACAAAAAATCTAAAACTCTGCGGTCTTGTTCTTTTGTTATTTTTTTTATGAAATTATACACACTTATTTAGGCATAAAATCAGCAGTAGCCAGGGGTCTTGCAAGTGCAGGGCAAGAGTCATTTCCAAACATCCTTGTCCTCAATGTATTCTTGGATATTATAGTAGGCTCTTGCCATTAAGGTAGCTTTTACAAATTGTTTGAAATTGTTTATACTTAGTTGTTTATGGATGTCACCTATTTTATTATAAATGTTGATGCATCTTCCAAGAAACGACTTTCTGGTTTTGGTCAATCTAAACCTCGGTACTTCCAGAGTGTCACCACGGCCCCGACGCGATGTGGATTGTTTTTTCGTAAATAGGTGGATATTATTACGTACATACATGATGTTCTCATGTATTTAAGGCGCCGGGAGCGTCGCTTTACATACTGAAAAATGAAAATATTTTATCCTACTTTAAAGGAACGTTCTAAAAAACCTGTTTAATTAAATAAATTCCAACAGAGAGATTCATTTCAGCTAACCACATTTCTACTGCAAGTTTAGCCATTTTCGTTTTCGGACACGTTTCGACTGGGACATCTGCGTTGGTTTAATAGTCTAAAGGACTGAAAGCATAACATCAGTTATACAAATACAAATACAAATAGGTACAATGGTTATTTTAATATATACAGATACTAGAACTCGATTATGAAAAAAGAATATATTAACCGACCTTCATGGCTAGATAACCTGTAAACCTAGTTCACAGATAACCCACGTGGGCAATAAACTAAAAATTTACTTGGAATGTTTTGTAACTTTTTTCCCTTTTGTTTTTATTTACCTTATATTTTATTACTATCTAGTAATCTAATACAGACTATTACACTAATATGTTATACTAATATAAATAATTAATGAAAACAACAATAATTACAGCTCACTAGTACTATATCACTTTTTTCCAGTTTATCTTTTTTTAAGTGAAACGATCTTCTTCGAATTCGGAAAAATTGAGTTCGCGTCGCCGCCATGCTGTCACGTGTTTTTAAAGACGTTGGTGTGATGATATTATAATCTTATCCTTTAAACGAGCAATTCTTGTATATTATTTATAATCGGAATCTCGGAAACGGCTCCAGCGATTTTCATGAAATTTAGTATGTGCGTAGATTCGGGGGCGAAAAATCGATCTAGCTAGGTTTCATTTTTAGAAAATGTCCTTTTATCCCTGTTTTCAGGGAATGAAAAATATCATTCGAATATGACGGTAAATTTCGCCGCAAAAAAAATGTTATAATAGTTCGGTCGGTAATCGGGCGGCCCCAAAACAGCGGTTCGTATCATGATCATTTACATACTTATTTTTTTACTTTTTTTTCAATTCCAAATCATTGCTTTCTTTATTTTTCGTCGATTTGTTATTTTGTTTTTTTTTCCTTTTTTAAGTTCTTTCTTTTGAGAAAAACAACCGTTCATGTTTTCTTATTATTACGTCGGTAAGATCGAAAAATATTATGCATATTTCATTACTCAGTAATTTGTATCTAAATGTAATTTCCAAAATACACGGTTTACAAAAAAAACAAACCGAGCAAAGCTCGGTCCTCCAGGTACTTATTAAACACCATTGTTGGTGACGTTAAAATTTTGACATCATTTAGTTTCATAATACATATTTGATATCTGTAAAACAATTTTTTAGTTAATAGGTAGTATATTTGTGGCTTTGACCCAACTGCGGATCGGCGGACTTCACAAATCTTCCAACAATTTCTTTTTATTATTTCGAAAATTTGCAGGTTTCCTCACGATGTTTTCCTTTACCTTTGAACACGCTATAAGACAGCACTACAAATTAACAATTTCATTGATGCCAGCACCGGGGATCAAACTCAGGTTGTAAGTATATTAAATTTAAGGCAAGCGTCTGGACACTGAGTTATCAGGGCTATAATGAGTATGAACAAATGTGAATTTAAAAAGTAAACATATTGATTGTACTACTGGATTTTAAAAACGCGATCTCACATAGAGTCGATATCTAAATTATTTGAGTATGCCATCATTACTCAGATGATATACGTAAGCAATGATCTGAAAGTAAAAATGAAGTAGCAGCTTATAAATTATATGTCTTGTTCTTAGATTATATGAAAGTTATATAATCAAAGGTCTCATTTTTGGGCAAAGGCATCCGGAGGTTATAAGGGTATATTCCGCCACGAGGCCTCTATGTGACAAGAGTTAAACTTTATATAGATTTCCTCACGATATTTTCTTTCATCACCGAGCTTGTGGTAAACAGCACATAAAATTGCAGTCAACAACTTCATTGATGCTGACGTTTTATTACTATTATCATTCGATAATTTTGTCAAGTGGCCAACAAAAATTTTGTAAAATAAAATTTATGGCCTCAAAGGCCTTTAATTTTGATGATTACTGATACATCAATTATCTTCTAAAGTATTTATTGTAAGCTGACGGTTCACCTAAGCGGTTCTTAAGTGATAACCGTCGGTG